CATGTAGGAGGAGGCCCAAACTGGTTTTAAGATGGCAAACACATGACGGGCTTTGTTGATTCTTGATGTAATATCCTCGTCAGTACCTCCAGATGTTGTTACAGTGCTGCCTAGGTATGTGAAGGTGTCTACATCTTCCAAACTCTCTCCATTAACTTGTACGGGGTTGTTATTCCGTGCATTGATTCTCATTATTTTGGTCTTGTTAAAATTGATGTTTAATCCTAGACATCTAGCTGTTGTATAAAGTTTGTTCGTTTTCTCCTGGATTTGCTGGTAGGTGGATGAGGTGAGACATAGGTCATCGGCATAATCCAGGTCATCCAGTTTGTTGTCCATTCTCCATCTAATGCCATTTTTCTTATCTCTGGTGGATTCTCTCATGGGGACTGCTTTGGGACCGCTCTGGAACTGCTGTGGGACTGCTCTGGGACCGCTATGGGACTGCTCTGGGACTGCTATAGAAAGCAGACCCAGCAGTCCCAGCTGTCCCTGGGACTGCTTTCTGGGACTGCTTTGTTCACTCATGTGTGAAAGAGGTTCTGAGTGACATGATAGCTCCGCCAGTCTATAGCCACTAAGAAGAGTAGAGGCGATAACATACAGCCCTGCTTCAGTCCCGATGTAACTGGGAACCACTCTGTTTTGGTATTGTTAACCATCACACTACACTGAAATCCTTCATGCAGTACCCTGATGATGTCAATGATCTTCGGAGGTAGACCATACAATCTCAAGAGCTTCCATAAACTTTCCCGATGTACACTATCAAACGCCTTTTCAAAGTCCACAAAGTTAAGGTATAGAGAAGACTGCCATTCTATTGACTGCTCTATGATGTTTCGTAATACGCCTTTTAAAATTTGGTCACAACATGATCTTCCTGGTCTAAACCCTGCTTGCTCCTCTCTCAGTTGTGCATCGACTTGTTGTTTTATTCTGTCTAATAGCACTCTGGTAAACACTTTACTGATTGTGGGTAAAAGTGTTATTCCACGCCAGTTGTTGCATTCTGATTTATCTCCTTTCTTTGGTAGTTTTATAATCAGTCCGTTTTTCCACTCTGTTGGTACTATGTTGGTTGTCCAAATGTCTTGGAACAGATTATATATGACCTTTGATATTACTTCTATGTCTACTTTAAGTAATTCTGCTGGTATGTCATCTACTCCTGCAGCTTTGTTGTCTTTCATCTTTCTGATGGCCTTCTGTATTTCCTCCACATTGATTTCCTCCACACTGATGTCAAGTTCTACTATGTTGTTGTTGACTTCAATATCTGGTGGTTGAGTTGGGTTTCCTCTATTCAGAACTGATCTAAAATGCTCTGCCCATCTCTCCATGATGTCACTGTCCTTTGAAAGGATGTTATCATACTGGTCTTTTACGACGTTTGAGCTGTTGGTGAATTTTCCGGACATCAGTTTGGTGATTTTATACAGTTCTTGAATGTTTCCAGTCCTTGCTGCTTCCTCAGCTCTACTCAAGTTATCTTCTATACACTTCCGTTTGTCTCGCCGCGCACTCCTTTTGACCTCTTTATCCTTTTCCTTGTAGGACTTTGATAGGGATTCCTGCTCTGAGTTGTCTACGCAGTCTAGGATCTTTGATTTGATCTTCTTTCTCTCTGATAAAAGAGTCCATGTATCAGATGTTAGCCACTCCTCTTTCACACTTTTCCTAAATCCCAATGTCTCAGTCGCTGCTGAAGCTAGACAATCCCTGATGTTATCCCACTTTTCATCTATGTTGTTTCCTTCGTCCATCGTCCCTAATGTAGAAAATCTATTCCTCAGCTCCAGCTTAAAGGCTTCCTTTATCTCAGGTTGTTTAAGTTTGTTCACTGCAAACTTCCTTCGTCCTTGCACTTTCCTCACTGTTCTTAGCTTAAGTTGTATTTTGGCACGTAAGAGTATGTGATCACTGTTAATGTCTGCATCTTGAATTTATTACATCATATAAGTTGTTTGTGGTTTGTTGCTCATACTTTTTTCATATATGATTAAATTCCTCTTTTCTTCTCCTCAACACCTGTGGAAAGGAAAAGAGCATTCTTGATTGAAACATTTCTAGGAAGTTTAACATTTGTTAAAATTTGATAATGGATTTTCTGGCTAATGATTGGCTTCATTAGGAGAATTACACAAGAGGATTAAAAATTTTCAAAAATTCATCAGAATGATTATTGCATTGTACGTACATGGTGATGCAACCGCCCATTTGTTTAAACCATGACCAAGGGGCTCACGGCATTTTAAGGAATCAAAATCTTTGACATAAAAAAAATTAACGAGCCAGGGTGAAGCCGAATAAAGGGATTTGAATGTATAAATATTTAAACAAGTCTTCTTCCGCTCTATATTTAAATTGGTCAAATCATGTACTAGTATTTCACGTTGATAGCCAATGTAAATGTTTCGTTGATCTTTACATTTGAGTAGAAGAAAAAAGATACTCGGCTAAGCTCTGAGGCCCAAAACTTCTTCAATTATGTCCTGGCCATGAGTGATATCCATAAAAATCCCCATAAACAGAAAGATAGTGGATTCCAGAAAATATTCTACGAAGCCACACTCTTTACTCCTAATAACTTTCACAGTGATGTGAAAAATTTAGGAATATTGTGCAACAATTAATATATTCCAAAAGTAAATGAAATTGTTACTTAAAAATGACTCCAATGAGCTTTTGGAGAAATTTTAATCACAGTTTTTTTTTTACCAAAAGCAGTAACCAAAAAACATACTGTTTGCAACAATAAGACCCACAATTGAAAAAAGACTGCTTTATTTTCTATACAACCCCTGAATAAACGTACGTTGACATTGGTTACTGCAAATTTATTTGGTTAAAAGGAACTTTGATTGTGCAGATAATTACATTTCAAGTGATATTAAAAAGATTCTTGAATTTCTGATCAACGATATATAAATTACGTAGATTTTTGGGATCAAATTTTTAAACTTTAGTCTCAATTCCTATAGATTCAGGTCAATTGCACCCCGTTATTAACAGAGCTTTTAAATCAATATACGAAGCAGAATATAGCAAAAATTCTACATGAAAGAAAGGGTCTCTAGCTATTGTCTTCAATATATCATTTAGGTAAATTGACATTTTTTTTTCAATTCACAATTTTCATTTTTGTTCCTATGTTGCTTCGATATACTACATGTAGTACCCTGGAACTCGAGTGAAAGATACCACAGAGCTTAACGCATCTAAGGCACAATGAATTATGATAAGAAATTCTATATCATGAAACCCATTTATTTTTCATGTATAGTTTTATTTCACAGGCGTCGAAAGCAAATTGAAAGTAGGGGGACTAATTGAAAGGGGGGGGCTAAACCAACAAAAAGGTAAACCCCTATTTTCAATGCCTATATTATGTATATATTTGCAAAAATAATGTGTGTGTGTCCCCCCCCCCCCCCCACCTAGCCCCCCTCCCCCGGTTCCGACGCTTATGTAGTTTAAGTAAAGCAAATTATGTTTTTCATTTTGGCTATGCACTACAACAACAAACTAGAATCCAGTATAATGTATAGAATTCAACATTTCATATTATATGACCAATTTTATCACATGTATTTCTTTACCTTAAAATGATCAAATATAACTGGGGTAAAAGGGTACACGTTTGTTCTAATGAAGGGACATGTTTTTTTTTCCCAAAGGATAAAATTTAAAATATTGCTGTAAAAATCATTATATTTTTATTTTCAATTTCATGGATTTGGGGAAAGGGTGGAGTGACGTTAAGTGCATAGTCAAAGTTTTGAATAGTAATATGTGCGGATAGACTTATTCTCTATCTTCTTTAATTGAAAACCGAGACTATCTTTTGAAATTATCTTCAGTAAGTAAAGATTCAAGTTTGATCAAACCAGGTCCCATGAAAAATCTAAAGCTTAAGTCAAAATATTCGTTGTACTCGAAATCATGTATAATACAAAAAATATATATATATTTTTATATTACTTTTCAAAAGTGTTGTTATCTGCAAAATCAGAGATCTGTTCAATAATCAATAATCATTTCACAGGATATTAAAATCTGACTTAAGTCTTAGTTTGTTTCATGATCCTGGAAAGAGGACCTTCTGTTATACTACACGATGTAGTAGTTTGGGGTACATTAGGGGGGGGGGGGCAATAGATAAAAACGCCAACATTTTCAATCATTTTGTTGGATGACCTGCGTGATCTTCGAAGACTATATAAATGAAAAACCTTCCCTATAATAAAAACTTCAGAGTAGCTCATTTGTGTGTAGAATCATAGTAATTTTTAACAAAGTATAACGTTGTTGACGATTTCGGTTTACGGATGACACTTGGACAACAATTTGTAATTTTAGAGATAATTTCACCAAAATAATGAAAGTTGTCTTTGTGCAACGATAAAAATGGTACGAAAAAAGACTTGTCAGCCAAAATAAGCCAATGATAGGTTATATTTGCTTACGTCAATACAAGCATATAATAACCGTAGAATGACTCTATAATATAACATCGTGTCCAAACATTGCCATCGTTCTTGATTGTTAATACATATATTGCATGATGTTCTAACTAAAAACAGTTGGAGAAACTGAATTAAATTATCATAGCCCTTAATATGGAATTTCTGAATCTATTTTTGACCCAATGTTAAAACAATAATTGTTATGCTCACCTGGAATGTCGATTACAGGGAAACATAACTTTTTTACTAAGTGTAATGCTTATACGAAATTAATTACCAATGTAAAAAATATTTAATATATTCACATAGAAGGTCTGTGACGGGGCATATTGTCATTCAGTACATATTTTCGTCAGCGACGTTATGCATCTAAAAGGTACATTTATTTCATGTTCTATATTGTAATTTTTAAGACACTAAGAGGACAAAAGGGAAGAATATGGGTTTTTTTTTAGATCGCAATACTTGGCGAGGGGTAAGTCTAAGTGTGTATTATGAAGCACTACATCCTTCTTCTCTTCTCTGTTCCAGGTTCCAGTGCATCATTCAGTTGTACGGCGACACCTTTTCACGACATTTCTCCTGATAACTGTCTATTGGTAAGGGCCCTTGGACATTTGTCTTGCTGTGTGGGAAAGGAAGGAATATGTCGGTGGAGTCGGACTCAAGATCTGTCCGTGGAACAACAGCTTACAAAGGGTGTGCGTTACTTCGATGTCCAAGTCGCAGCTCGAACCAGAACAGGAGATTTCCATATTGTCTGTGGTTTGTATGGCGACGAACTGAGCTCATGCATGAAGGAAATAAAACTGTTTCTGGATTCACACGAGAAGGAAGTTATTATAATTGATATTAATAAATTTTATAACATGAATGACATTTTGCACATGAAGTTGTTGTCGATTATCACTCATTGCTTTGATGATAAGCTGTGTCCGTACGATAAAGATTGTGACGTCACTTTGGGTTCCTTATGGAATCGAGGTCAACAGGTCATTGTGATATATCATAATGATATCGTTTACGAGTACGAGAATTTTTGGCCAGGTGACTCGATAGTTTATCAACCAAAATTAGTGCCAAACACTCCGACAGATCTGATTCTCCAACTGGACATGATATCCAAAGACGATCCAGGAGAGAGGCCTGGAATTGGCCAAGAAAAGAAACTGTTCAAATGTTGTAGGGGAACCATCTCCTTGTCAAAACGGAAATGTCTCTCGCGATTGTCAAGTTCGAGGAAGCGGGAAATGTCTATTGCAGTAGCACCACTACTCGCTTCTTGGTTGAAAAATAGATCCCGAGCTAATCTGAATGTAATTACTACAGATTTTGTTCATTTATCAAACTTTGTACGATACGTTGTCAACTTAAATATAACAACAACAGAAACTGCTGTCATACCCACATCATTTGCCAATGGAAGAATATGATCTATACCAATCAATGGTCAATCCTAATCATAAATGCAATACTTGTTTAATTAACAAGTGTTTATTTTTTAATGTTTTAATATCCATGCCATTTACCGACTTTTATTCGAATTATTAATATTAAAATATAGGTTTACCATTACATTTCTGTATACGGTATTTACTTTTATTTTCAAGTGAACATTGTCAACATCCAATATTCGGCATAGCTGTGAAACCTGAAAAAAATATTGTGAATAACTCAACTGGCCCTGAACAAGGACTAAATAAATTTGAACTATGAAAACAATATTTAACATGTTTTACTGTTTTTTGATAAAGAAAAATGGGTAGATAACGAACAGTATTCGAGCGCAAAAGTCTAGTAAACAATACAGAATACACATAGGAGGAGAGCTGACAAGGACCTCTTTATAACGTCAGAGGTGGGATCAGGTGCCATGGAGGAGTGAGAATCCCCTACCAACCGGTCGGTAACACCACCGTATATTCTCCTTGTCATGTTCGAGAGAAAAACAGGAAAATCCGTAGACAATTCGGTGTGTAAATAATGGCCCAACAATTAGTAGGAGTCATAATTTTATCTGTTTCAGACTTGTCTTGAAAACCTTAATAAATTAAAGTTATAATTTATTATTTTACTAAATGTACATTTTAAAACTAAAATAAATAAAAAATGTTTATTAGGCTCATAGAATGTTCATATTTTTAATTTCAAAAATAAAAAAAAAATGCTTGTAATTCATCTAGATTACGTGCATTTTGTATGTCAAAAAAAAAAAATTGGCTTGTTGATTCTCGCACACTACTTGTGCTACTCGTTACTGTTTGATATATATCAGTATACTATACAACGGCGATTTGTTTTGATTTTTGTTTTTTATAATATACAATCGTTCATCCTATAATTAAATCGCTGACCGGGAAAAAACAAGCTTATTTTTTTTTCTTTTAGCATTTACATTCATATATATATTAATTATTTCTAAAAGTTTTCTCCTACGGAAGGTCGTTGAGGCCAGTTCAGAGAAAAAAATATTTTTTATTGCGTTTAAACGCAATAATGATTGCGTTTAAGGACAGATGATACAAACTTTTGTCAAAAATTTTGTAAAAAAAAAAAAAAAAAAAAAAAAAAAAAAAAAAAAAAAAAAAAAAAAAAAAAATTTGGTCATGTTTTAATGAATAAAATGAATAAGTTTCACCGTATAGTTTTTAACTTTTTATTCAAAGTTGCACAAAAATGGAATTTCAAGTGAAAAATATTTGTATAGAATAATAAGGATGGTTTCAGAAGGGTATAATTTTGAACATCACAGAAGGTTTACAATTTCTTTATATTCTAGAAATTTATTATTTACAATATTTGCAATGAAATTAGGTCAAAAATATATACCAATCCAGGCATCCATTTTTTGTTTGTATCATCTGTCCTTAATAGCAAAACTTTGCGTTTAATCGCAATAATCATTGCGTTTTAACGCAAAACACTTTGCGTTTAATCGCAAAAGATTGCAATAAAAAATATTTCTTTCTCTGAACTGGCCTCAACGGGCTTCCGTATTTTCCAACTTATTACCAAAGTATTCTTGTAGTATATTTTATAGTACGTCTTTTTATATGTATATAAAGATATAAATACTGGAATAAATTAATTCTTTTATCCTTCCCGCTGGAAATCTTATAACAAAATTCACTACAACTGACTTATACGGAAGCATGAAATATTTCCTTCTCATAAAATAAAAAAATAAAAAAAATCTTACGAAAATCTACTACAATGTACATGTATTTTGTAGATGAACTTCCTCTCCGGCAATTCAATATTAAAGCTATAAATATATATGGCATATCTGAGCTAAAAAAAAAATTAAGTGTAGATTTACATGATATTTGTTTATTTACGTTCAAAAGAAAATTTTCTCCGATTTTGAACTTAAATATCCCCAGGTTTCTATAGTTAATTTGACTTTAAAGTGTGTCTGACTGAAGTTTTTCATATATACTAATTGTTGGTCCATTATTTATACACTGAATTGACGACGGATTTTTTTCGTTTATTTCCCGATTATGACAAGGAGCACACGGCGGGTGTAACTGGTCAGCAGTAGATGCTCACTCCTCCATGGCACCTGATCCCACCTCTGATGTTTTGGAGGTCTAGCTGTGTTTGCTCTGCTCCTATTTTGTATTGTTTTTTGGACTTTTGATCTTGAATACTGTTCATAATCTCCATATGTTTCGTTGTGTAATTTACAGCGAAAGCCCTATCTTTATATAAAGTACCGGTAACTAAACATATAGAAAGATCTTCTTGATTTTAGTTAGTCTGAACTTATTCAAAAAATAGGCCATATATGACTTTAACCAAGTAGGGAAGAGATGGAATTTTAGAAAATTTATTTCAAACCGCATTTTTAAAAACATACCATAACATATCTAGTTTCAAGATTAGACTGAATATTTTAAAATGAGCAAAAGTTCACAACAATTACAAATGCTTCCAGGAAAGAAAAAAAAAATCTTTATTTATTTTTAGCTTCATTGATACCAAAGCAAAACTCAGTGTTTGCATTTCAATGATTTATTCTTTAAAATTTTTATAAGTAATGTCTTTAATCTTGCTTCCATTGCCAAAAGTACTACCTGAGATGTTAGAGATGAACATTTTAAAACGTCGTAAAATGAAAACTATTAGAGTTAGATTCTATCTATACTTGGTTATTATTAAATTTTGTGTGAGTTTTTTTGAACAATTCCGATTTAAACAAATTATATACAATGGAAATTAAAAAAAAATGAAATATGACTAAATGTCGAAGATGCATAAATTCTGGAAATTAAAAAAAAAATAAATGGAAAAAAGAGGAAAAAAAATGGATATAATTATTTTTAAAAAAATCAGAAATAATATGCAAAATAAAGGAAATTAAATGCAACGATTTCAGAGTCCTCTAAAAATTATTTCATATATCGTTTTGATGTAGTTGTCATTTTCTTTCAAAATCACCGTGTTTAGTGACAACCACCCCATTAATTTCAGTTTTCATACAAAATGTAAACATTCAAAATCTTTAAATATTGTTTAAGAATCCTGTTTTTTTTTCTTCCATTAAATCCAAAAGAAATAAGGAGTCCCTCAGGTCATCTATAAAAAATAATCGTTTGCCAGATCCACACCAACTAGTCAAAAATGGCCTCCAACTTGGCGCCAAGTCGATTTTTTTTTTTTACCTCCAGGAAACAATTATTTTTAATTGTGCATTCTAGAAAATAAGATTTGAAAAAATTCGATTCAGCAGTGTTATCGAAAATTTTGGTGAAAAAATTCCTCCATGCAATCCCAGTTGGAAGACGTTCATGAGGAGGGGAGAATATCAACCTTGACTAGCGAATCTTATATGATTTTTACTAAATATAAACTTTGAACTCGTATAATAAGAAAAATAGGGAACTATTTAAAAATACGTTTAGTAAATGTAGTAAAACAGGGAAAACTTTTATAATTTTTTTTATATACTCTGATTAATTTTAGTCTAATAGTTTGAAAATGATGATTTTCTTTTAATTACTTAAGATTTTCTTTTATTAATGTAATTTCTAATATTTTTACTTTGGTCAATTTATGACAGCTGTGGTATAGAAGATTAATTAACGGAGAAAGAAGTCAATATACATTTTACACAACCGCGTTAATGTACGTTGCATAATGTGTATTTGCGATTTCGAGAAAGGTGAAATTATTTTTATCTCTAGCAAATGCAATAAACAAATCTTATTATCTATGTCAGTAATACGGGTTTAGTTTACAGGTGTATTTAAATTGTAATAGTTTCTGAAAAATATTCGGTCTAAAACGCAGTAAAGTGCGAACCCCCTTAATGGGCCTCATTCTTTATGGAAAAACAACATGGATGTGGCTCAAAAGCGACAGAAAAAATGCTGGAAAGATTGGATGAGCCAGCTACCCAGTCACCTGCAAAAAGCTCCACTTAATAAACTCGCCATTCCAGGTAATATTATTTTATCTTTTTAGCTAAAAATCAAATCTTTTTTTCTCGAATGCAACCATAAAATCACCCAGGTAAGATGCTGGTCATTAATAGGAACCAGCGTAAACTGGTGGCCTACATGGGCACCATGCAGGATATTTAATGAGTTAAAATTATGCATGAAGTGATCGATATAAATAAGGTTTTAAATCTAATTTTAAAGATCTTTTACTTAAATTTAAACAAATGTACAGGTGCTATTGCTCCTTATTGGTGCCATAAAAAATATTTATTAAAAAAAAAAGGGGATAAACGAGCTACTATAAAACTAGTAGCTCGTTTATGTTTTTTTTAATAAATATTTTTTATACGCCAGGAGCAAGCCCCAGTGCTTGAATTTAAACAAATGTATACATGAGCGATATTGCCCAATATTGGTGCCAGACACATTAATCAATGGAAGAAGGGGATTAACAGTTTGAGCTGGCTGCATTAATGCAATGAGTCCATTATTTTTTTTTTTAATACTGAATATTATCCTCTTAAAAAAATCAATAGAATCTAGTTAATTTTTATGTTAAACAAATATCATAGCTGATACATATAATCAGTACACATGGTACAATGTAGGAACTACATATATTCAACTCTGTCCAAAATTTATGATCTTGACCCTATACTTTTCTTTATTTTCCTTTCTTAGTTTCAAAGAACAAGGCCGTAATTAAGCTGAAATATTTAGTGAGGCAAGAGTGATGGGCATTTCTAGTCTCAGACGGGGCAAGGGTAGTACCTGATGGCCAGTGATGCAGTTTTCCAGTTGAGGGGGGGGGGGGGGTCATGAAACCTGGACATGAGAAAATAAAAGATTTAATCTTATTAAAATTTTGCGTTTTGAGTTGTCGCCTGCATGACACAGTAATCAGAGCGTATACTTTAGAATTGCAGAATTATGAGTTAATCCTTACATTGCGGGTTCGAATCCCACTGCGGGATGTAGAGACCGGCCCTTCCGATGAGACAGTAAAAACCCAGGTCCTTTGTCACTGTAAGTGATGGCACAAAAAGATCTCTCACTGTTCAATTACTTCAGTGACCTTGAAGCCCAGTACAGTCATTTAAAACTAGGAGCCCTCCACCGGCAAGTAGTGGCGTCTCATTATGAATGAGAAATTCTTAGAAGGGACAATAAACAATCAAACAATTTACAAAACGAACATTTTGAATTATATTTTACATGCATTCTACATGAAAATGAGGTACCTGTGGGATGAACGATTTACAGAAATTGAAACAAAAGTTTAAAATATTAATATAGCACGAAGACACATATAATTCATTTGTTCAATGTTAAACTTTTTTTCACTTTTCAGAAAACTCTAAAAATTTAGTGAGGCATTTGCCTCACTTGCCTCAATGGTAGTTACGGCCTTGAAGAAACTAATTCGTGTTTATTGATTGTAATATTCAAGAAAGTGATATTCACTTATGCATTTAATGGGGTGATTTGATTCTACTTTTCCAATCGGCGAGAAGAGTATGGCGATTGCAGAAAAACTAAAGACAAGCATGCCATATAATAATGGCTGTGTAGATAAAACAAGGGTAACTAGTGCTAATTGTAACGGGGACCGTTACAGATGTTCCCCAAACGCTCCCCAACTCCCTTTTGGTGCCATATTCCCTGTAAGCTTCATTAAATAAGACAAACTCTATGCATTTGAGACTTTAACAACGTTTACCCAGAAGTGTACCAAGTTCATTCAAATTTTGCGTGCGCATGTGAATGCATGTGCGTAATGACCATATCATCTTGTCTACACAATCTATATATTTTTATATACTAAATATTAAACAATTAATCCAAAAGTATTAAAAAGATACGCTCATTCAAGTGTTTTTTTAGCTCACCTGAGCCGAAGGCTCAAGTGAGCTTTACTGATCACATTGTGTCCGTCGTCCGTCCGTCTGTCCGTCTGTAAACTTTTCACATTTTCGACTTCTTCTCAAGAACCACTAGGCCAATTTTGACCAAACTTGGTACAAAGCATCCTTGGGTAAAGGGGAATTTATATTGTTAAAATGAAGGGCCAAATCCTTTAACAAGGGGAGATAATCAAGAAAAGACAAAAATAGGGTGGGTTCATTTAAAAATCTTCTTCTCAAGAACCACTGGGCCAGAAAAGCTGAAACTTATATGGAAGCATCCTGGGGTAATGTAGATTCTAAATTGTTCAAATCATGACCCCCCGGGATTGGGCGGGGCCACAATGGGGAATCAAAGTTTTACATAGAAATATATAGGAAAAATCTTCTTCTCAAGAACCACTGGGCCAGAAAAGCTGAAACTTATGTGGAAGGATCCTGGGGTAGTGTAGAATCTAAATTGTTCAAATCATGACCCCCAGGGGTAGGGCGGGGCCACAATGGGGAATCCAAGTTTTACATAGAAATATATAGGAAAAATCTTTAAAAATCTTCTTCTTAAGAACCACTGGGCCAGAAAAGCTGAAACTTATGTGGAAGCATCCTGGGGTAGTGTAGATTCTAAATTGTTCAAATCATGACCCCCCGGGATTGGGCGGGGCCACAATGGGGAATCCAAGTTTTATATAGAAATATATAGTAAAAATCTTTAAAAATCTTCTTCTCAAGAACCACTGGGCCAGAAAAGCTTAAACTTATGTGGAAGCATCCTGGGGTAGTGTAGATTTTAAATTGTTCAAATCATGACCCCCGGGGGTAGGGCGGGGCCACAATGAGGAATCCAAGTTTTACATAGAAATATATAGGAAAAATCTTTAAAAATCTTCTTCTCAAGAACCATTAACCCAGAAAAGCTGAAACTTATGTGGAAGGATCCTGGGGTAGTGTAGATTCTAAATTGTTCAAATCATGACCCCCAGGGATTGGGTGGGGCCACAAAGGGGAATCAAAGTTTTACATAAAAATATATCGAAAAAATCTTTGAAAATCTTCTTCTCAAGAACCATTGAGCCAGAAAAGCTGAAACTTATGTGCACATGGAAGGATCCTGGGGTAGTGTAGATTTCAAAATGTCTAAATTATGATCAGTGGGGTAGGGTCGGGATGCATTATGTATTACAAGGGAGAAATCTGGTAAAGAACAGAATGGTCAAAGCTTCTCAGGTGAGCGATGTGGCCCATGGGCCTCTTGTTTTATTTTGCTCATTTCACGTGCACGCACGTGCATATATGAGCATGGTGACCATATCTTCTTGTAGATGTCCATTACATCTATCTATGTTCTAAATCCCACCCCGTTTGGTTGAAATCCAAGGGAGTTATAGCTGTTTAAAGTTTCAGCCAATCAGATTGCAGCGCACGTACTTGCACGTGTATGCATGTGCATGGTGACCATATTTTCTTGTAGTAGTCCAGTGTATCTATCTATGTTCCAAATCCCATCCCGTTTGGTTGAAAATCAAGGGAGTTATAGCTATTTAATTTTAAGCCAATCAGATTGCAGCGCACGTGCATGCACGTGTTTTCATGATAATTGCTATATATCTTGTTGTAGGATATCCTAATGCATGGCTATTTTCAAAATTTCAAAGGATTTCGTCAAAAAATAAGAAAGATATTCAGACTTTAGTTTCAGCCAATCAGAGCAAAGCGCACGTGCATGCGCGTGAGATCTTGCTATTTTGACCATGTCATATTGTCTATGCTTCTAATATATCCTTGTATTATAAGTTTCAAAGTATTTCATCAAAAATTTAAAAAGTTACGCCTATATCAATTAAATCGGTCATTTCACATGTTGCACGTGCACGCTCTTGCAAGCACGTGCTCGCAAAATGACCTTCGTTCCGCAAATCTACATAACATGTCTACTGACCCTAAAACATTTCACCTTAGTCGGATGTATAGTTTACGAGATCATTCCCGGACAAAAAAGTACCCAGGAAGAAGAAGAAAAATAATAATAAGAAACAGAGTAAAAACAATATGTTCCCCAACTTCGTTTGGGGAACATAATAAACAATTTGCCCATGCGTTTCGATGAGTGTGATTCTGGGGAGGGGGTACTCAGTGTATTTCGGAGTGGGATACCTTTGTGTTATACTATGGGTAAATAAAAATTATTACCGAAACTTGCCAGAGGTGCCTTTAAGTCCGGCTAGCAACCAGGCCATTTTATCAAAAACCCGCAAAAAAAAAAAAAAAAAAGCATCCGGTTGCCCATAGTATACCCCATTGCTGGATAATATGACTGATACTTTAAGGACTACTTGCCCGATGATGACCGATGTTGGGGAATGGCTCTCACCACCGATTACCATTGGTCGGGAAATCTGACTTTACTTTTACAGGAAACAAGCATAATCTTTTGTAGGCCTAAGTATGGCACGCCAAATTCACAAAAAAAAAGATAATCATAGTTTCACAATCGATAAACTAGGTTTATCGGTTGTAAACTATAGTTTACAAACCGTAAACTATAGTTAACAACGTTAATCTATATTTCATATCTGTAAACCATAGTTAACGCGATAATCTATGTTTCACAACCGTAAACTATACTTAACACCGAAAACAATCATTTGCGATTGCAAAACATAGATTACCTGATAAATACAGTTTCACGATTTGTAAACTATAGTTTAAAAAGCGATTTCAATAAAGTTAACTCCGATAAATTATAGATTTGCACAATTTGTGAAACTATCTTAACAAAATGGCATTATTGATAGTTTACGAAATTTATAAATCTCAATTTCAGGGCAAACGTGAACAATTATAAGGAATGTTTTGTTTATCAACAAAATCTATTGTTAAACACACGATTATTAATATTTTGAGATAAACTTAAAAAAACATTGAAAACTATAGTTAACAACCGTTTTAGTTTACAGTGGATGGCACTATACTTTCCTGTCATGGCACTATAGTTTACGGTTTGTATATATATTTTACAGTCGATAAACCTAGTTTATCAATTGTGAAACTATGATTATCTCATTTTTGTGAATTTGGCTTGCCATACCTAAGCATTTATTTAATTTATATATACATCCTGCAATTAACACCAGTACATGCATATGGTTTTCCTTACAGGGTCTCACAATTCGTTTTCCTACAGCTTGGATCCACAGTCTCAAGTGGCCCCAGACCAATCCAAGGAAATACAGGCAGTCGTGCACATGTTTGGCGCGCCAGGACGTGACGTCATTCATCGTTGGTCCATTACACAGAATCTGACTGTGGAACAACAGCTGAATTCGGGGATTCGATATTTTGATATTCGCATTTCTAGACACTCTGCTTCTGGAAAGGTTTGTTTCGTTCACGGACTTCACGGCGCAGACGTTATCCCATGCTTGCAAGATATTAAGAAATTCCTTGACTCCCACCCGAAGGAGATCGCGATTTTAGACTTTAATCATTTGTATGAAATGGAGGCCTGCCATCATACATCCTTGCTTGAGACCATGACCGAGATATTTGGAAACAAAATCTGTCCATTCTTGAACATGGAGTGTTTAACTCTGGAGATGCTTTGGGAGAGTGAACTTCAAGTTATTATTTTATATCATAATGAAATCGTGTCTGACAACCCATTTTTTTGGTCTGGATCATTAATTAGATCACCCTGGGCTAATTCAACGGATATATCCCACGTTTTATCTTTCCTCGACAAACACAAAAGAGAAAACGACGATAAAGAACGATTTTTTTGTTGGCAAGGCGTATTAACGCCAAACGCACAAACGATCATTTCGCACTTCTCCGGAAGCTTGAAAGATGTTCTTGCTTCGAGGTTGGCGCCATTCTTTGTCACGTGGGTGAAGAATGGTAAAAGTGTGAACTGCAAGCATGGGATCTTCATCATGGATTTTGTAGAAATGGCAGATTTCATTCCTACTGTTATTGACCTCAACTATTGAACCGATTATTATTCTGTGTTGTTAATGTCCACATATCATTTTTGTGTATTTTTTAAATTAAACTAATTTATGAAACAAAAAATTATCTTTAATTAGAGGTACTGGCCCCGTGGGAGCACTTAGCTCACAAAATGACACCACTTCCTTGCATATAATTATAATGACAAAGTCCACGTTTTTGCTAATATTGAGACGCTTACACTTGCTGGCTATGGAGGACTTGTAGACCCAGTGTACTCGACACTCAGGGCTGTTAATTATATAAGCAGTGATGGTCATCTTTTTTTGAGTCAGCACCTACTGAGAAGTGACACTAAGGTGTCACATAACAGTAACTGTAAAACAACATGTGTTTTAAAACTGATTTTTCCCGTATGGTATCTTTTTGCGAAGATCAAAGTTTCTCGAATGCAAGTCAAAATCGGGCCAAGATTAAAGCTCTTTGAATTTGGGTCAAACTCCAACATCAAAAGGTCAAATCAATGATACACAGGGAAAGGCCCAGACAAGATGTTGTGAAATATTAAAGTCCAGGTACCAACTGTTCCAAAGTTATAGCCAAGGTAAATTAAAAGTAGGTAAACTCCAGGTTCAATGTCAAGAGGTCAATCCAAATGAAGACTTGTAACTTTTCCAAGAAAAATACCTGTGAAATATGAAAGGCCTAGTACTTACTGTTCAAATTAATATCCAAGGGGAAAGTTTTTTAAATAAGTGGGTCAAGCTCTATGGTCAAGGTAAAAAAAAAAGTTATAGCCAAGGTTAAAGTTTTGTAAACTTTTACGAAAGTGGGTCAAACTCCAAGGTCAAGATGTCAAATATGCTGGTACTCAAAGAAAGGTGGTTTCTGTTGAATTACACATTTGAAATATGATAGTCATAGATTTAACCAGTCTAAAGTTGTGGGCAAGGTTAAAGTTTTTTTTGCTTATACAAACGGGCGAACGGGGCAAAAACTATATACCCCGATTTATTTTTATTAAGGGGACGATTAAGAATTATCAGTATTCTCAAAAGACACATATAAATTATCCTAGCTGTTTAAAAATTAAAGGTTTCCTTTTATGGGAAAAAAACCAATTTTGTTAAATCATTTAAAAATAAATCTGGAATGAATTAGTCATAAATTAAAGACAAAAAGTAAAGAATAAAGTCGAAACTAAAGAAGGAAGATTCTTAAAGCAGCTGTGATTAAAAATTTTGAAAATTTTGGAATCTTAATGCAAATCTACAGGTCACATCATCTGTATTCCAAAGGGTGCGACATTGCCTCATCGTCTCAAGCCACGGTCCGGAGTCCACAGATAGCGCAGAATGCCATGGGAGAGGATTGTACATTTTAGCGTTTGTTTGAGACGATGCATTACCTACCAGGAAGGATAAGGTGATCCGAAAATGACTCGCAGACATTGTACAACAAAACATAAAAGTCAAAAACTTAATTTATACTTTGTTTTTAATTGATTAAAAGTATTTTTATAACAAAAATATCAAAGACATAATTATGTTCAGTATTGCAGCTTAATATTATAAAATGTATAAAATGATTGACAACAAAATATACATGTATTTAACTTTTTATTTTTCTTTTATTTATTTAAAAAAATTATAACAAAACAAAACAATATATTTCATTCATCTTTCCAAATCAGGGCTTTGTCTTGAAACGTGCTGTCTGCAGAGGATTCATAGTTACTATTGTCATCCACCATAATTTTCCTTTCAAACACGCTACAGTCGAATTCCCATAACAGAGCCTGCTGCCCTTCCTCGACCTCATCCAGAAACACGCATTCATTTGTCTGCGACTCTAGTCCGAATATCTTATCTAGAAGATCATCGTTTGTTTGGTCGGAATTCAGATAGGACACCTGATCTATAAGATAGAATGAATAAAAGGTAAAGTACCTGATCTATACGATAAAATGAAGGATAAATAGCTGTACGGTACAAAATATAGACAAATACGAGAAAGCAGTATTTTAAAAGCCGCGATAATAGTACACTAATATCTCAGATTACCTGTGTGAATACAGCTGTTGATTGATAGGCTCTCTCCCTCGCTCTCGACCAGCTCAGTCTTAAGCAGCTGAATTAAAGCTTCCATTTCGTTCGGGTCGCTGTTTCGGCGCCAAATTCCCTCCAACTCAGGCGTGACAGTGTCGTTATTAAACATATCTTGATGTACCATTTCTAGGTCTGTTTCTATACTGTTGTCCATCATGTTGAAGAGTGAATTGAGTGATTAGTTTTCTCAATATTTATACATAAATCTAACCCTGTTATTTGCAGCTAAAACTGATACTCATAAAAAGGTGTTAATAAATGTGAAATGTTATGATTGACGTACATAGACAATGTATATACATGCACATCATGTATTTATTTATTTTATCTTAAGTTGTGTACTTTTGAACAAAGCTTAGACACGATCAGCGAAGCTTAAAGCTGAATTTTTAACCGTGTGCAAATACCAAGTAATTAGGACTGATCTTTGAAAATAAATCATGTCATAAAAATCCGTATTGCATAATAAAATGAAGTTGAGGTTTAGAAAATAAAAGAAAATGAAAAAGTATTTGTATATATAATTTATAGAATGTTTGAAAAAAAAATTAAAAGAAAAAAAAATTTCCCTACATGAAAGAGGTATTATCTACGTGTACCTAATCTATTACCTGAACGCTTGCTACTTAATGCTAGTAGCATATAGTACTGAATTATGACAAACCCGAGGGCTCGTTATTTTTTTTAATTAAAACTGGGGTTTTATTTATAGTGGCTGAATTATGTTTATTATCTTTTTGAATATTCAGTGTTTCCAACGGGTGGTTGCAGAAATTTAGCCTAATATTTCTTGGTTTACATCTCAATATACGTGTTTATAAGCAACAAGTAGAAGTTTCTGATTAGATTCTGATTAAAGAACAAATTAAAGACATGAACATCCGACGTAAACATTGCAAAGGAGTTAAAAAGACCCTAGCACACAAGAGGAGCTAAACTAAGGAACAAGGATCCCAGCATGCAAGGACAGAAACCCAAACAAAGGAAAATTAGGACCCTTTCATGCGAGGACAACAATGTGAAGGAGCAACGATATAAGAATGCGGGATCAGCAACGTAAATGTCAAAAACTATAACATTGGAGGGAACAAAGCGGTCGAGCTGAGATCTTTTAAAACATGCAAGGGCAACAAGACAAAAGAGTATGAACCCAGCATGCAAGAACAACAAGCCAAAGAATGAGGACCATTGCATGCAAGCGAAACAACAGGAACGAGCAAGGATCGTTGTATTGAGGGACAATAAAGCAAGGATCCGAGGACTATGCCATGAGGCAATAACATCCTAATGATCCTAACATGCAAAGGCATGCTACAACTCGTGGGACTGGGAAAGTGTTTGTAGTATGTTGAAAAAGGAATATATAGGTACTTTTTAAATTGTTTTATTTATTTCTTATATAGCAAAGCTATATACTAGTAAATAACATATTAAGTTCATTGCAAAACTGAACCGATAAACACCGATTACTCTGTATTTTCTTTTTTCCAATAACTTGGATCATGCAGGAAGTATAAACAGAATTCTGAATTCAAAGATAAAAAATAAATAAAAATAAAGATTTATAATAAGTTACCTCATAAGGATGTCCAACATCATTATTGCTGTTCTGTGAGTCATGCAATGTGTTAAAGGTACTTGGACACAGATTTGAAGTTAATTTTTTCTCTATACGTGTAATATTACGACTTATATATTTTAATAACATTTCACACAAAAATTAATTAAAAATCTTATTTCATTTAAAAGTTATGCCACTTTTTTTAACTTTAAGGAAAAGTTATTGTTGTGTATTAATGAAAAATATTAATACTATAATCCAGAAAATTCAGAGTTATGGTGAGTAGACTTTGGCATGTGAACGCACCCGGTGAATCGTAAACATTAAACAATAACAAAGCTGTGTCCTGTTTACAAAAACTGTGTACATAACACGAGTGTGCTCGATTTGCTAAACTCTGTAAAAATTTTGCTTTCTAACACTACTCTGAATAAAATAATTTTTCTGCATTGAAGTTTTAATATTTCTCATTAATACACAACAAGTTTGCCACTTTTTCTAAGGATTAAGAATAAAGTAAAAATTTGCGAAAGTGCAAGGATGTGTCGATCAAACCCGCCAAAAAAATTAAAGTTTTAATAACTTTTGAATGAAATAAGATTTTTAATTAATTTTTGTGTGAAATACTATCAAAATATATAATTCATGATATTATGCAGAAAATATTAACTTCAAATCTGTGTGTCCAAGTACCTTTAAAATGATATGAAATTAAACTGCATTGTACTAAAACTGTAGTAGCAAAATGATGCTCTGGAACTGTAGCTTATTATCATAAAAAACATGAATACAGTAATTCATAAAGTAACCAGTTATACAACAGTTGGTATTTCCTAGCTGTATAGGATATAGATTAAGTTAATTTCTGGTTGATTATAATATATCGTGCTGCCTGACAGGTAATTCCTATTTGACCTATCCATGTTTGTAAGCTGAATGTCTTTTCAAAACTGAGGTACTGGCATCTTAAGTCGTTTAAAACCACCTGTTAATTGTTTCATTGGTTCAAAGTCATTGTGTATCAAGGAAATGGTGAATCATCGTAACAAGATGAATGTTCTTCTTATCCGTAAAGGGGAGTGCTAGATGTTTGCTGAAATCACCGTTAGAGTGGAGTGTCCAGTGTACGGTGATTTACTACTACCAGTGGAGAACCCGTTTTTGGTGAATCATTTAACATAGTGAATGTCCAGTTTATTGTTTATTTTCGTTATTTGGTGAGTAACCAGTGTATAGGGAACGCAGTGTATGATTCCCGATCAGAACGCGGCGAGTAGTGTGACCATTCGGCAGGGAATGCTCACTCCTCCATGGCACCTGATCCCACCTCTGATGTTTTGGAGGTCCGTGTTTGCTCTGCTTCTATTTTGTATTGTTTTATGGACTTTTGATCTTGAATAATGTTCGTTATTTCCATATGTATCATGTTACTAGTGTTGGTATAGTGTATCCTGTATCACTGTAACAAGTGTTGGTATAGTGTATCCTGAATCACCGTTACAAGGGAAGTGTCCCGTGTATTGTGGTTCACGGTTATAAATAAAATGTCTTGGATAGTTCATGGTACGTACCGGTAACCGTTACGGTGAAACACTGTTACAAAAGGAGTGTTCAGTGTATGTTGAATCATCATTACATGGAAAATGTTCAGTACTATAGTATATGGTGAATAGATGTTACAAGGGGTGGGGGGGGTGGTGTTCAACGTATGGTGAATCACTGTTACATATTGATATTTACTGGCAAAAATTGATATCACTTATTTCAATAGGTGATATCACTTATTCGAATAGGTGATATCACCTATTTGAATTGGTGATATCACCTATTTATTGTCAATGTTATCACCTATTCAAAAAGGTGATATCACTTATTTGAATACCTATTCGAATTGGTGATATGACCTATTGGAAATGAATAGGTGATATCACCTTTTCGAATAAGTGATATCACCTATTCGTGCTGAATAGGTGATAACACCTATTGGAATAAGTGATATTACCCTATTCGAATAGGTTATATCACCTATTCAATTTGAATTGGTGATATCACCAATTCGAATAGGTGATATCACCAATCTGAATTTCTTACAGCAATAAAAAATGAATGTTCCCTAAAATATATAGATTACCATTGGAACCAAGAAAATTCGTACTACCCATATAATTTATATATTTGTAAATACTGTGTATATTTGGAGAGAAGACCCAATCCGTAAATGCGGTGCTTTGTGATCATTTTAAAAACATATAATGAGTGTAGCAGTGATAGCTCATTAGTATGCATTACCCGACCAGTGTTATGATTGTATGTATGTTGTTTCAACGTCCCTCTGTATGTTGTTTCAACGTCCCTCTCGGGTCCTTCGGATGAGACCTTAAAAACCGAGGCCCCGTGTCAGCGGCAGGCGTTGGCACGATAAAGATCCCTCACTGCTCAATGGCCCTGAGTGCAGAGTAAAGGTCAAAATTTGAAGCCCTTCACCGGCATACGGTGACGTCTCCATATGAGTGAAAAATTCTCGAGAGGGACATTAAACAATATACAATCAATCAATCAATCAATCAAGGTCCCTCTCGAGAATTTTCACTCATATGGAAACGTCACCACATGCCGGTGGAGAGCAACAAATTTTGTCCTATATTCGGCACCTAGGGCCATTGAGCAGTGAGGGATCTTTTTCGTGCCAGCACCCAGTGCGACACGGGACCTCCGCTTTTACGGTCTCACCCGAAGGACCGGTATCAACGTCCCACGGTAGGATTCGAACCCGCGACGTAAGAATTGACTCCTTACTTCGCGACTCTAGAGCAGACACTCTATAACCACTGCACCACATTGGCGACTAGTTCAGTGTAAAGAATATTTTGGTTCGATCCTCACATGGAGCGTTGCGTTAATTTTTTTTATTACTACAAACAATAAATTCTTTCGTCATTTTAATTTTATATACTGATTTATTTGAAATATATAAATTCTGGTTCTGATGCAGAACGGACTTTAAAAAAAAATTACAAAGTGTTTCTAACTAAATGAAACATTTTCCAATGTGCGTAGCTTTATAAACCAAATATTAGGGAAAATATGTAAAATTATAAAATGGAAAAAGAAAAGTTTACATATAATCAACTTTTTAATATAAATTATCCAGTAATTAATCAGGAGGGTGACGTCAAAATCACGTTCTTGCAAACAGTGTTTGCAGAACATGGACTGGGTGATTTGTTAACAATATTTATCTATTAGAAAAAATAACTTTGATTTAATAAATTAAACACCTGAAAATTATAAACAATAAATTATGAAGGCATTAGTCATAGCGCTAGCCTTGCAAGGAACACCTGTGTTTGTAAACATGGACACGAGCTCAGTCATTGGTTCTATTAGGGTTTCCCGAGTGTGTTTGATTTGCTTATACTCATCCTTACAATGCTAGGGGTACAAAAATATTAAATGAACAAGATGTGTTTTTGAAACACTATGCGCCCGGCAGCAACAAATTTCGGAAAAAGCTGTTTTTAGCATTAAGGTCACAGTCAAGTTCACAAGGTCATTGACCTTGGTGTCATTTGAAAGAGCTTGCTTAGTGGAGTATGCGTACCAAATATGAAATCTCTATCTCTCATGGTTCAAAAGTTATAGTGAGGGTTCAAAAAAGCTATTTTTAGCAAATAGGTCACAGACAAGGCCACAAGGTCATTGACCTTGGTGTCATTTGAAAGAACCTAATAAGTGGAGTATACAAACTAAATATGAAGTCTCTATCTTTCATGATTAAAAAGTTATGGCGAAGGTTAAAGTTTGCAGAAAGAATCTAATTTTAGCATATAAGCCACAGTTAAGGTCACAAGGTCATTGACCTTGGAGAGATTTGAATGAGCTTAATTAGTGTAGTATGCATACCACATAAAGTCTATCTTTCATGGTTCAAAAGTTATGGTGAAGGTTAAAGTTCGAGACAATCAAACAAACAAACAGGCAGACAGGACAAAAACAATATACGCCCTGGATCTTTCGATCCCGGCGCATAAAAATTCCAGGGGTTCAACGGCAAGGTGTTGATCGACTCAGGATCCCTGGCATTTTGTTTGTAAATGTGTAACTCTGTAAAGCAATAAAAAAGATTTGATAAAATTTTCAAGATAAAAAAGAGTATCACAAAAGACACTGTTATATAAAAAAAAGGAAGTGAAATAAATTTTTAAAAAGCAAAAGTGGAGCAATTTAGATTTCAAAAGGATAGCTTTACCCTTGAATTGTGAAAGTGTTTGCACAATATATATTATTTACCGTAAGAAAACCTTCAAAAAAGCATAATCATAGGACATTTTTTGACTCATCAATTTCAACATGCTTGCAAAACTTTGAAAACTGTACAAAAATCATTTATCTTTCAAAAAAATAAATCTTTTATAGTGTTACAGCCTAGACTAGGTATTGAGTAAATGAAAACTCAACGATTCTATTTTATATATTTACCGTTATAAACAGAAAAAGGGTGACCTGAAATATATAACATGTATTTAATATTTCTCACCTCACTCACACTTTTACGCGAATCAGTTAAACTTATGAATTTAGATAATTTAGAAATTCACTTCAGTTTAGTAAAATGGTCAAATAGATACTGAATAATAATTGAATGCTATAAGAAATAATTCAACAATTATTTCTTACCGTAATCCTAGCCCCAAATTTGCCACAATATCGTAAGAAAAGTTCTGTTGGGGAGAGTCTAAGGTTGGAGTGCCCGTGAATTAGTATTGGCGCAAATGCGCAGGGGACAGAGAAAACCTGTTTGACCTCTCACACACTTGTATAGTACTCTCACCTGCTCAATGACCACTCACCCGTATAAATGAATGAATGAATGAATTAATGAATGAATGAATAAGGCAGTGAATTAAATCCGTAGGGGCAACGGAATTCACTAGTTACTATAATAATATGATGCCTTATAATAATATATGAAAATGATATGAATGATAATTAATAATATTAATTAATTATAATTTACCCTATGACAATAGTAAATGTTACATGTAACCATACGTTTCTGTTAGTAGTTTTTTTTAACGTTTTGTACATGTTGGGAAACAATTATGACGTCACGAAAATTATATTTCATACGTCATAATACGCTACGATTTACAAAGCTTCTATGATGTCACAATTATCTGCCTTTGTACAACAAAAATCATAGTGCATGGTTTAGATTGTGAGTAATGCCGTTTGGAAGTTGGTTAATACAATGGATAAGTCGACCATTTCGGGGTTTTGGCGACTCAAAAAGAAAGGCGTACATGGATATACTAAATTCACTTGTAAGTACTGGATAAAGTGAAAAGGAAGTTATGAGATCTCTTATATTTCTCAGTTTCTTCTTGAAAAAAGAGTGGAGTGCAATGAAAGTGAAGTATAACTAAGAGACCTGCATGTACAACTCTTAATTTAAACACTCTTAAAAAACTTTTACTTAGTAGTCATTTTTTACTTGAAATAACAAAGATAAGTAATAGATAATTACTAAGCATTTACTTAAAATTTTAAATCAATTACTGAAATATATGTCAATTACTTTCAAATGTTTTACTTGATTTTTTTATTTTAAAGAAATGTTTTACTTACACACTAAAAAGTTTTACTTAGTAATTTATATTTACTTAAATTTGTGTATATAAGTAATACCATTACTTGGTCTTTACTTACATTTTACCACTATTTACTATATATATATAATTAATATTTTAATGCCCCCGTAAACGAAGTTTCGGGGGTACAGTACTGTATATAGTTTTTGTCGTGTCCGTCTGTCTGTCTAGCTGCCTGTCTAGCTGTCTCTCTGTTTGTCTGTTTATCCGCAGAAACTTTAACCTTGCCCATAACTTTTGATTTAGCGGAGCTATGACTTTCATATTTCACATGTGTATTTCTTGTGACAAGACCTTTCTCTGAGTATCACCAAATTTGACCTTGACCTTGAAGTTTGACTCACTTATACACAAAAAATCCAAACTTATTCTTTATCCAAATCTTTTGAACAGTAAATACCAGTTTATATACATTTATACTTCACATATATATTTTTTATTGAAAGAAACTTCATTGAATACCAACAACTATGAACTTTTGACCTTGACCTTGGAGATTGCCATCCTTGTAAAAAAAACCTTAACCTGGGCCATAACTTTTGAACGATAAGAAATAGTGCTTTCATACTTACATGTATGTAATCATTTTGAGAAGACCATTCATAGGATACCAAGAACTTTGACCTTGACCTTGGAGTTTGACCCACTTTTAAAAAGCAAACCTTGACTGTAACTTTAAAAGGATTAGGGTTAGTGCATTCATACTTTACATAGTTCATCCTTGTGACATGACCTTTCTTTGGGTATCACCAAATCTGTCCCTTTGTCCTTGACCTTGGAGTTTCACTTACATTTCAGAATTGATAACCTTGACCATAACTTCTGAAGGGTTGATGCAAGTGTTTCCATATTTCACATAATTATGTATTTTTTGTGACAGGACCTTTCATTAGATACCAATAACCTTGACATTTTGACCTTGGAGATATCAAGAAATACCAATAATTTAAATTTGCATATAAGAAAAGTTTAACCTTTGCTATGTTACCATACGGGGGCGTAGGTGTTTCACAAACACATCTTGTTTAAATTGTATTTAATTTATTTACTTAAAACAAAAAATTATTTACTAAATCAAGAATTCAGAGCAGTAATTACTTAAATATGGTAGTCTAATTATTTGAATTCTTGGCTGTCATATTAATTGTCTGTGAGGAGGAGTTATCTTTCTTCTAAATATTCCTTCATGTGAAAAAAAAGTCACACTAATAAAAATGCGATATTAAGTACTTCAAATGTTTAACCATTTTTAAAATGGTCCTTAAAAAGATACAACTTATTCAATTTTTAAGGCTTTCGAAGTTTGAATCAAATGTTTTATTGTAATATATAATAAAAGAATTACAAAGAAATTGGCAAAAGAAATTGAAAGTATTATTGTTTCCATCATAACTAGATTTCTTCTATTAAACTATTTACATGGCCCAGTTAGGGATCTCTGATAAAGAAATCTTTGAGTAGTACTCACATATAAGAGGCTGGGTACCTTGCATTGCAGTTTTTCATTTACTTAGTATTCTTTTGAGTAATAATATTCTAGATTTTAATTAATTTCAGAATTACATTTACTTAGTAATAATTCATAAAATTTAGTAAATAGAAAGCATATTATCTCTAAATTAAGTAATAATAATTTAACAAAAATGAGTAGTTCATTTACTAACTTAAAGTAATATAATTCCTATAGTTTAAGTAATTCTATTGATACTTAGTAAATCATTTTATAAGTAAATGAATTCATCCTTATTACTAATTATGTTTAAATTACTAACCATGATAGTCATTTACTTGCTATTCTGACTAAATGGATTACTAATAATTACTAGTTTTTCTTAATCTAATATCTTATTTTAAAAACAACAAGTAAAACTTTTTTTAGAGTGAAGGTAGGGCTAATTTTTAAATGGAATGGATTTTATCAATAGTCTTAAACCAAGTTAGGGGAATGTGAATTTAATTGGCTGAAAATTATAAAATTCAAACCCCGTCCTCTTTGAAAAAAAAAAGATTGTTATAAAATGTAGCTTGGTTACTCCGACAGCTGCATAGAACATTTTTAGAAGAATTTTGCGACACAAATCCAAGGTCAGCTGGAAGTTTCTACTTCGGTATATATTTTGTCACTTGTAATTATTCGAACTCTTTTTGTGTTGAACATTTCATATTTATCATACATGATCACGATTAAGAATTCGCCAATAAACGCAAAGACTGAAAAAGGTTTATCTATACTGAGTATCTAGTATCTTCTGATTAAAATTCTTTTAATTCCAACTTTAGCAGCGCTCCCCAACTGAAAGGGGATCCGAAATTGAAGCATTACTATACAACTCTAAATTAAAAATACTGTAAATTCATAAAAAAAATTAATCCACCAATTTGATTTTTCCCAAATTATAGAAACAAAAGTATATATTTTACAGGAGGACACTGACAAAGTTATGTTTGTTGAGAATGGCCATGGCAAAAAAGGCTTATTAGTCTTCAGACAGAAAATAAAAAAGAGCGGAACCAGCGTAATCTACGCAGGCGCAAGCCTTATGGAGCCATTTCCGGTCGTCTACAAGCTTGTCAATAAAAAGTATTGTGATCTTCTTCTGAAGGAATACATAATCATGAGGTCCGTTTGGCACAGAAATATTTTGCATGTCCGGGGAATTCACTTCAGCCTCAAAGGGAACGTTGTCATCATGCGGATGGACGCTGCTTATAATCGAGATTTGTACTCGTACTTACGTACAACGGAAGGGTATGTAAATAAGCCCGTGTTAGATAAATGGATGAAAGAACTGGTGTCTGCAATGTGTCATGTGCACTCTAAAGGTTACGTCCATGGTGACCTTAATTATAAAAACATTTTACTAACCAAAGATTTATCAATTAGAGTTGCTGATTTCGGATCCGCTGATAAAAAGTCCAAGTTTAAGTTAACCCGATACGATCCGAAATTCCTCCCACCAGAACTGAACTCCCGGCGATTAGAGCCAATTCCGGCCGAGTATGACACCCGTCTTATCGATGTCTGGGGTGTGGGGGTAGTGTTGTTTTTCGCCCTGACCAAACACCACCCGTTCACTGAGAGTATAACTATGTCTGCCACTGATGTTCACGGAAACTGTCCCGGAGAAACGCTGCTTTATGACGAAGACCGGAGGCGTTGTAGTTCCTCTTACGCCAAAGTTGTCGGAAAGCTCATGGATTACAATGCCGCCCGGCGCCCTAAACTTTGTTACATAATAAGGCAAGACTATTTCAGTGAAACATAAATCAAGGGCATCTTGATGTTGAATAGCTTAATCATATGTTGAAGAAAGCTTTAATTTTAAACTTTGGCAAATTACCCTATTTCTGTTTGGATAAGTATAACCCAATCCTTATTAATAACGACAGCAGATAGTTATTCTTCCCAAGAAGGGAAGGATGGATGGAAGAAATTAAATGTCTCTCCTCTAGATAGATCCGTTCCTAGTTAAATATTAACATATGAGTTATATTTATTTCATCATAAAGTAAAAATTAAATGAGCATTAAAGTTGAATATCAAATTCTTTCATATTCAGTTTTTCTTTTGCCAAACTCTTATAATACGTTTGATTTCCATTAGAGAACTTTTCAGAATTAAAGGCGCGTTTGGTCGTCTGACTTGGACAGCATGGCGTTGCGGATAATACAAAACATGCCAGTCTCATTCTAATTTTAAATGTTTAGTACATTTGTCATTATAACTAAAGAATAGAACTAAAAGACATATATTAGAGAGCAAAAACCCGAACTTTATCATCCATTAATAAAAAATACGACATTTCTGAGGTATGTGTATTGTCTTTAAATGTACCATACTGATTACGATAAATAGATACGATCACCAGATATAAATTGATATCGTTTTCATCTCTACTCTTGATGTAAATTAAGTCCACAAATATAATATATTTCAATTACATTTTGTAAGGATTTGTTCATCGACATTCATGTTTACATGTTTATGTTACGTTTGTCCCAGAAACCGCGCGGGATTTGTACATTCTCCGACTTTTTCACAAAAGAGAGCACAATAACTAATATGTTTTATGCTGTGACCGTTGGGGCGAGCGCAGTTATACCATCAAAAACACACTTGACACATTTTAAATCAGCTACTTCAATCAACAAGTCGCACGAGACATCTCGAAAGCTGTGACGTCACATGACGTAACGGAGATCGTAGGAACTTACGGAGACAGCCGAACGTCTGGTTGAAACTATAGAACTAGTGTAATTTTTAGCCGGGCTTTGCTGAAAGCAAAGTCCTGGGTATAGGCATCGTGATCGGCTGTCTTACTATAAATAGCACAGTAAACAAATAACCAAACAGCGTCAAAGCAGACGCTTCCGATAAACAAAATAGTCCAATTGCGAGACGATATTCAAACAAATATTTTTAACATCCCTATCGTTGGAAAAGTTAATGATCAATATTTTTGCTTGATAATTAAACTGAAAGTGAAATTAGATATATGCTTTATTGGGATAATCGTGTTATAACAATTTGTGCACATAAGCTGCTGAATGCATATTGTAAGCGAACTATTTTCAATAGAGCGGACTTTTCGAAATGTTGAAATTGTTGAAGAGTTTCACGTTTCATATCGTTTTCGTCGATGTTATATTAGTGGCTATATTCTGTTTTGATTTTTAGCAAATCAATAGTAATTTAAGTGAATTGGAATTTTAAGAATTATTATGAGTTGCATGACAATGTATCTACATGTAGTTGGCGATAAAAGTACTGTTTCTTTGAAATTAGAAGAATGTTTAGAAAATATACTTGTGCATTATTTTAACTTTTCCAAGACTGAATTTTTAAATTATGAGAAAAAATGCTTATTGAATAGAAAATATGCGAGAACTTCTTATTTCTTATTATTTATTAAATTTTTAAATCATAACACATCTTGGGATCTGGACTGTTAATTTTAATTACTTGTATATGAGATATTTCTTAAAATCATAATCATACAAACTCTACCTGTTAAAAATCAATGGCCAAAAGGAAACAAAATTAAAAACGTACTAATTTCGGATCAGACAATATACTCGAGCAATTAAAACCCGGTTATTTTCTTGTTCCTTTTAAGATTTCTACAAATTGAAAGTCTTTTTTGCTTTGTTATATATATTTATTCGCCATTATCGCATGGAATCCTGGTAGCAGAGGAATTCTGGGAAGGTTTCACACAAAAAAATGCCTGACGTATGTGCAGATTTCATTTCGAGTTTCCTCCGTTCTTACACGTTATTTTTTGAGCTCGCTTCGCTTAACTCGTCAATAGTGGACATCGAACATATTGGATTTATATCCATTTTATTGATGAAGTCTTTAAGATATTTTGCAGCTTATGTACATGTATTGAAAATATCAGGAATTAAGGACAGTTCGAAATATCAGTCTCGTGTCCTTTTAAACATCACCTGGTTCTTATAAACCTTTCCCACATCTGGCGGCCACATTTCCACAAACTAATAGTGTAATATTTGCTGATTTTCACACTTCAAATCATCAGATTTTTTTTTATTTATACAAAATTTTATTCACTTAAGTAAATGGGATTGGGCAGCAGGCAAAGCCTATTTTAGCCCTCTCCCTAAGATTTTCAGATAAAAGCAAAAGTTCAATCGTTTACAAATAACTTCATTATAAAAAAATTAAACAGAATGCGTCAAAATCTATAAAATTTAAACAATTGTACGTGACACTTCAATTTTCACTTCCTTGAATTAAAAAAGACAATGTTTTTACCAATTGGAACTCGTAAATGAATTTGCAAATATTTAAAATATGACTCAAATTAAACGATGACGTGTTTGACATCAAGTTGATTTGTCAACTTATCTAAAAAAATATATATATTCTTTTTGAAAACCAGTAGACGTATAAATGTGTACATTGTCAGTCTTGAAAAATGATTCTACATTTAATGCGTACATTCTCTTTGCTATTGACAAATTGTATGCACAAGCAGTTACGCACTTCAATACCAATACGAAAGGGGGGAGGGGTGTAGATGACGAGGAAAAGAAGTATTTAAATATCCAAAATATTTAATAACATTTAAAAGTATAAGAGAAAGGGGATTCATTAACACTAACTATAAACATTGACAGACGCATGTTCTCTAAGGACCAATCTACATTACAAAGTTACCACAATTTAAATAAAAGTATATTTATTCACTTTCATTAGATTACTATACTCCAGTTCACCTTATACCGAAATCAAGTCACTATTTTATTTCATAACGTCCTACAAAGTTAGTTATTCTTCACAAAATTGTTTTGTTGGATAATTTAATTCAGGTAAAGTTGTCATAACTTAATATAAATAAGTCCATAAAGCATTTTCAGCCCTCAGTAAAAAAAAACATATCTTTAAAGAATACCTGCAAAATGTTAATATAAGTTAAAAGTGAAATGTTTTTGACAAATAAAGAACTTAGTTTTCAAACAGTCACACATCTCACACAACATACATACACAGACACGTGAAAAACAAGTGTGATGTAAACATTATTAATCATTGTATACTAATCAAAACAACAAATCTTCGAGGGGTGATCAAAAACTTCGCCATCTATCTCTATATTTACAAAACCACAATTCATATCGGAATGAAATTTGGCACACATAGAGTTATACACATGTTCTATAAATAGCATATGTAACGGAATGTTTTACCCCGTGTTTGTGACGTCACAATGTGAAAATGACGTCATAAGGTAGATCACGTGTGACAAAAATGGTTGACACAGTCGTATTCGAGAAACAAACGGCTGTAAAGTGAAACGTTTATCTTGGAAATTCCTTTGCAGAAGTTTATAATAATTTGTACACGGTTTAAGACAACAGACTTGCCAGAAGTTTTGTCATAAATTGGATTGATTGTTTAAGTGTAGGAGGGAAGATGTTTAAAAATGATGTTGTTCTGTTGCCCGGTGAAAGCAAACTGGGAAAGAGACGAGTCCTTTGTTAAGCAATATGTTAGAGATCGCCAACTTACAGTTAGAAAAATAAATAAATAATTTTACAATAATATATATATCAAATCCCAAAAATATCGTTCACTTTAGACTTTAAACACATAAGATATGATAAAGTGGAGGCATCCATACTTTAACGACGCTCAAAAGACAGAGGACTTGGGTTTTGATGATCACCATGCTCATTCTGCAAAAGGATATCATTATCCACCCATACTATTACCGAGATAAGGCCATTTCTGACAAATGGACTGTTTTTGTTGTAAGAAATAACTTGCATGGTTAGAAATATAGGAGTGGGAATAAATTTTAAGCTTCTGTGACAGAACGCCAAGGAGCGCGTTACGTGACCGTCTATAGCACGCGATCCGCGCATGGGCAGAACGGTTGCAGATGCGCATTAAAATCAGAGAGTACTACTTTGAAAAATTTTCAAACTGAAACCCTATATCATTTCTTTTTTGTAAGTTATTTAATTGGTTCGCGAACTTTTTGATCACCCCTCGTAGCTAAAAAGAAATCACAGTTCTGTAATAATCGTAATACATACTCTATAGATATGTTTGTAATGCTTACAAAAAAAACTTCTTAACATGAAAGACCATTTTTGAATGACATTACAATAAAAATGAAATAATGTAAAAGTTCTTATGCAAAAATATACAGTCAACGTTTAAACTTCACACAAATAATGACAAGCAAATATAGTGTTTATTTTTAAATTGAAAGACATCATTCAATTGGTATTCTGAAGACAAAAAATAAATCCTGAATTGATAATACTGGAGGAGTGGGGAGGGGGGGGGGCAAGCTGACGGGGAAAAGTCTCAGATGAACGCTTTAATGACATGGTTCACATCTTCACAGAACGGGTCCCCACTCTTCTCGGTGATTTCAAGCCTAAAATCAAAAGATACACTATATGGTTTAATGTGATCAATGTATTCCATAGTTCATAGAAAGTCTACAACTTTCTACAGTACTCATTACAAATGAGGGGTGTTTTTGGTTAATTTGTTCCTTGCACACATGAAATAGTCTTTGTGGTTAAATCCTTAAGTAATGTAGAGAAAATACATTCTTCTCATATATATCAAAATTGTTTATCATGATAAATATTCATATTTAAAAATCAGGAGAATTCAAATATGCGAGTTAACAAAATCATTATATTTTGGATTTGGAGATATATTTTTATTCACCGATATCTCTCCCTCACAATTTACTTATTCAGGACTAAAATGCATTTCCCGCGCCAACCGTTTCCTATAAAATGCATTTCCCTTTTATACTTTTAAATGCGCCAATATAATTATACTGTTGCAGGCAGTGACGAGTCAACATTTTAGTAAAAACCACTTTTTTACAAGCAGTGACTTACATACCACTTTTTACAAGTAATGATAAGCGCCTAATCTAAGTCATTCCAATTTTTACAGGTAATGATGAATCACCATTTTAGCACATACCACTTTTACAAGCAATGTTAAGCGACTATTTTAAGACATACATGAATCACTTTTTACAAGCCATGATAAGCGTCTATTCTTAGACATACCACTTTTTACAGGCAATGATGAGCCAACGCTTTGCATCCTGAAGGCCGTAATGTTCCAAAGCTCGTACCAACTTCTTCAAGTAATCTTTCTTCAGGGTAGATTTTTCACGTCCCATGATGAACAACTGATAGCAAGATATAAAATAATTAACTGTGAACATCTTTTTGACAGCTCTAAAGAAAATGCTGCTTGGAACATGGAATCATCCCCCAAATATTGTGTAACGAAATTAGATAAACAACAATACATGTACATTAACGATTCATTCTGTTGGCTACATCAACAAAACATTTAATGAAAAATAATTCCTTTAAAAAGGATCAGGCTCTTACAAAAAAATTACTATAATTATTTCACTCTTTAAATACATTGTTTTTCTTACTTTACTTCCAAATGCATGACTTTTGAATCCGTGAATAAAAATAAATTAATCCAAATTTTCTTCAATATTTTTTTTTTCAGTTTTTACTCTTCAATACAAGACAGATTATTTTCACAATGCTCGTACAACTAAAATGTTTTGTAGAAAGAAATACATCTTTTGTTTTCTTTGGCCTAATTTTTCCTGCATTTTTAAAACGAATTCTGACTTGGGAAGCATATTCCAAGTTTAACCAATTATCTCATATTTTCTGAACTAGTCCAAAATTTCAATATTTACACCATCGAATCAAACGCTTTCCAAAACTAATGTTCATCCTCTCACCTTTAACATTTTTTCATCCGGGGATTTATATCTGTTACTCGACATGACTCTTTCTATCTCTTTCTGAGTCAAACCAAGTGGCTCCAAAATCTCAGTCTGGCATTTAGTCATGTCCACCAGCAAAACCAGGAACTGATCCGAGAGTGGAGGTGGGTAATCTACACAGAAACAAACACTGGTGTCAATCACTCCCACTCATAGCTTGTTTTATTGTTCTTTTCTTACAATGGAAGAAACACCTTTCTGGTGAACAAGAATGTAGTATAATATAGACAAACATGCATGTGCAAATTGTAATGCACGCATAAATTTACTTTTAAAAAATTCACCATACCTCCTGGATTCATTAAATCGGAGTTATTAAAAGCTTTCAACACCCATCTGTAAAACTTTGTCTTTTTGTTTTCCTCCACAGTAGTCCTGAAATAATAAACTTAGGAAATAAAAAATATCTTTTGCATTTGTCCGCTATTTAATAAAATATACATGTACCTAATTATTATCATTTTACACACTGCTTTATCTGATTCGATTGTTTCACAAGTTGCAAAAAAAATTGCAGAAAATTACAGATTGATATTGTATCCTTGTATTATTTCGGTAAAAAAAATGTTGCATGAAAGTGTAAGGGAAATGATGGTCGCTTTTTTCAAGAAAAATCATATTCCTCTGGAACATTGCGCTTGAGAAATCTGATTTTTCTTGGGTAAATACAAAGATCTTCATTTCTCTCCATTATTATGCAGTTGATATTTAATATTTCCAGAGTCCCTTTAGTTATTAAAAGAGTGATTATATTTATCATAGCTAAGTTATATTCACCAGTCTCAAGTTATAGCTACATGTACCAGTCCTGGAATTATGTTTATCAGTCTCTAAGTAACAATAACCAGTCTCTACGTAATATTTACCTGCCTCAGTTATATTAACCAATCTCTATACAATAATTAATAATTACCAGTCTCTAAGTAATATTTACCAGCCTCTAAGTAATATTTACCAGTCTCTAAGTAATATTTACAAGCCTCTAAGTAATACATGTATTTACCAGTCTCTAAGTAATATTTACCAGTGTCTAAGTTGTAGCGTAATTAATGTACACAGGTCCCTCCTTCCTCCTTTGGACAGAGCAGTGACTAGGACAGGCAGACCCAGATCGTCCTTCGTCTTACACATGTTTCGCCAGGAAAGCAAAAACTAAAGGGAAAAAAAATTGTCTCATTTTGCTATTGACCATTTTATGAGGTTAATGAAAATGAACTAAAGAGTTTCAATTTTATTAATGGGATAACAGTAATCAGTATATGTAGATTCTCAGGGACATATTTAACTTTCTCTAGAATAATTAAAGATCTCTCATAATATTTACTTTCTCTAAGTAATATTTACATAGTCCAGACTTTTTACTGCCATTTCTAATTGTGATGGCCAAAATATTTTTATATCACTTGGTGGGATTTCCTAGCAGTATCCCAGAGTCTCATGTTGAACTCACAAACATCTCTTTTTTTAAAGATATGAAGTCCTTAAACTCAGAATCCCATGGGAGAATGGTGGGATTTTCAGTCCCACCAACTATCCCTTACACATGTTTCCCAGGAAAAAAAATGTCACAAGGAAATTTTCTCATTTTTGTTTTCCATTTTGTGAATTTATTGAAAATGGGATAAATCCCATTTTATTTTGGATATCACAATAAGAAAATGTAGATGAAAAGCAGGGACAATGTGAACTGTGACCAGATTTTAAAAATCGTACTGTTTTATTTATATTCTCGATCATATGAGACGCCTTCAAAAACCTTGAAGACCTTTAAATTTACACCTTACTCGGCACGAAGGGGGACTAAATAGTGTTCTTTATCATTTCAATGTCTGCCATCAAATGGGACCTCGATTTTTCCGGTCTCATCTGATAGCCCTGTGACATTCACTTGTAGTGCCGGGTGTTTGGCTTAGGAGCAATAACCACGCATGTTTACGTCTTAGGTTTAACGAGGATACTTTTACACCCTCTATTGACTGTAAATATTGTTCTGCGAAAGCTTCACTTATCTACCAGATAAAATGCAATATCCAGAGAGTAATTTAGATATCCACTGATTCCATAAACTAGCGCCTTGTATATAGTAGCCTTTTTTATGCACACAATCTGTTCTACAAATTTTGGAAGACATTTCTTGGAAAGAAATTAAAATGATACAAATCAGAAGTCTTGTGAAAAAATATAATACATGTACATACATGCCAGATGAGTTCTTCCTGCGACGGATTGTTTTCCTTTATCATTCTCTCAATGTCAGCATAGTTCCAGCCCATGAGAACCGCCACTTTATACCATTCCTCGTCCATCTCTTTACATGTCTCGCGAAGAAATTGATCGTCCGTGAAACCTACAGAAAAAATGTGTTGATAACTGAAATCTAGAGTATAAACGATAGTAAAGAGGAGCCTGATTCATCTGAAAATGACTTTCTTGGTCATCAAATCCAAAGTATTATCATAATTTTAGCTTTCGAATAATAATAATAGGAATGTTTTTTACGTCTTAGATCGTTATAACAGCGCGCGGTTTTACAGCTCAAATATTGATAGGTTTATATTCCCGCATTTTTAAATAAACTGGGGTTTGAAACGGATATCTGATTTCTAAAGTGGGAATTATGAAGAGGAAAACCCTTCAAAAAGTTCTGAAATGAAAGATTGATTGGACACAATGCATGCTCTTACATACAAAAAACGTGTAACATTATCATGAAGTCATAATTGTTACTTCATCTTCATTAATAACATACCTTTAAAGGAAGGGTCCCCCTTTTCGCTCAGGGTGAAATCAAAGCTTTTCTCTTTCATGACTGCAATGGACGTCCTGTTCGTAGGCTCGCTCGTTTCACTCGGTGTCAGCAGGTTTCTGCTGGGGGTGATCGGTTTAGGGACTGGTGCCGGTTTGGTGATGTCTTTAGGAGGTTCCAGTGTTGGAGGAACCTCCGCCTCTTTCTTTTCCTCCTCCTCTTCCTCGGGCTCTTCGTCCTCCTCTGGTTCCTTTGACAGGTTTATAAGGATGTTTGTAATGCTTTTAGTTTTCCTCTTAGTTTCACCGGTTTGATCACTATCAGTGTTAGGAAGAATTTTATTCACTTGAACCTGTCCCGAAACTTTCTTCACCTGTTGTGAAGTTTCTATTGTGAAGCACTGAAAATTTCTCCTCCTTGGATGAAATTGAAATTGAATATCCTCAGAATCGCCTACCATTTTGAGATTCTTCACAAATAATATGAAATGTTCTCTGGATTTCACTGTGTTTGTTGGAGACTTTTTAGATCGTTGGTCTTTAAAGCCTTCGTTTATCCAGAAGTCTCTACAAGCATCAACCCTGTCTACTGGAGCACATTCTATAGCCACCTGAAAAGAATCGGTTTCTTCCATACGTCTAGACATGGCAAGAAATTTAACAGAATGGTCTATTTTCCGTGCACGCTGAAACAGCGAGTGGACTTGCGGTCTAAGTTTTTCAACCGAAACGTCCTTTTTGGTTTCGATTGCAACTTTTCTGTAAGATAAAATGACATATTGCACATGCAATGTTGAATGAAAGTAGAGAGTAGAAGACAATAACAAGGAAAAAAAGATTTTTAAAGGCTTACAAAGAAAACGTCCTTGTATCGAACGAAATAACATCTTTGGATATATTACACCTCGTGTCCAGCAAGTTCCAGCTGTTCTCATTAATGTCATCGATTTCGTACACGTTGGAGCTGAACACCTTTATAGTTCCACCAACGCCATATTCTTCCGGTAGAGGTAGTTGCATTTGAATTTCCTGTTTTGGACCTACGTAATTTTCAGCTTGTGATCGAACGAAAGGTGTGATAGAGTATACATCCTTCATTTCTGCAGACTCCAAGATACCAGCATCTGGTGGATCCGTTACCTGTTTTTAGAAATAATAAATAAACGTGAAAAACTACAAAATAAACAATCTTTTGAAACTGATCAATTCAACATTAAAAATGAAAGTTTTGTCGTCTGATTTTTTTCAATTTTCTCTTTAGCAAGTAATGAAATTCTAGAACAATATGCAACACTGACCTGAAGAAATACTTTTGTAGGTTCCTCAAATGTCCCTTTTGGAAACACTATTTTAACTTTATCGTTGATTTCTGAAGTGATGGTGATATCGTCAGTTGATGCTGTGAATGTTTCCTGCTTTGGGCGGGTTACGAAAACAAACGCATTTAACTCGGGAAGATCAGCAGATACCTCACAGTAGTATTTCTGCGAAAAAAAACAAACAAAATTTTTATTCCTATATCGTTGCACTTTCAATATTTTACAGAAAAAAGAGGAACGATGACAATCAACTACCGATATCATGCAAAATATCAGCTGCATTTTCTCGAAGCTCTCCGACAAGCTCAAATTTTAAAATAGCTCGAAAGTATAGATCTTCATATCATTATCGATGTTAAAATTTTATATACAGTCAAGATAGTCTTGCTTTAAAGTGTTTGAAAGTCCGAGTAGGTCGTCCCATTCTATAGTATATTTTACGTAATACTGAGTACCTTACATTTAATCAGTTTCACCTTCATACCCTACAGATAAAGGTCTCCCTTTATCTATTTCAATGTTTACGAAAAAGTGGTTAAAGTCATCAGTACCAGAGTAGCAAATCTTCTTGACGGAAAGTAGTGCAAACTATCTTACGTTTTTCATGAATATGACATTTGACATGTGAATTAGGAACGTTTAGAAAAGGGAAAGACGTTGATCTTGTCAGGAAGGAGCGAGATTTACGATTTTGTCATTTTTTTTCAGTGAGACCTTCGTACCTTGTCTTTTTCGAACACTTTGGAAACAATGACATCATGCCCTTGGTTACTTTTCATGGCTACCTCCTCCGACTTAAGGGGTTGTCCAAAAATTGGAACAGTAAATGTACATAAAGTTTTGCGTCCCTTTCTTTGAACACGATAAGTGATTACGTCACTAATGACCTCTTCTGATGCTGCGAATTGAAATTTGACGTCACAAAAGTCAATAGGTTGTCGTCTGCACATCGTCGAGAATTTATCACCAACAGCTCCGGAGGCAAAGTCGATTGTGACGTCAAGCCTTTCACAGTAAGTTTTTGCTCCTCTGATCACTTCAACCGTCTGTAGCATCATCTCTCTTTATTACCAAGGCAAAAATAAAAACATGACAAATGTCCATCACTTCTTTTTTTTTTCAGATTTAGTTTCATTGTTACTAGTTTTCTCTTGATAACTTTTGAGTTTATATAGCAAACATTATTATATAGATAAACTAAAGTGAAATATGCCATACCCCATAGATACATTGAGAGCAGCGGAGCTGTTCATTGCAAGTAAAGTCCTCATCTCTTTCGACCGACAAAACATGTGCGGTGTCCGTCCTTGCTGTTAGAGGAGGTAAAATATGTTATTATGATAATTAACAAGGAAGTTTAAGGTTCTATTATTGTTTATTTTCAAATGATGTACAAAATGACCTTTACTTTTTATTTGGTTTTTAATATAGTTTTTAAAATATCTGCTTTTGTTGTTGTTTTTTTAATTGTTCTGTCCTTTTGTCCACAGCAAACGAAACGCATACAAAAACACCTACACTAATAGAAGTTTCCTTGTTTGGAACTTCTGTACTATGCATTCATTAAAACTGTTTTACAATTATTTGGAAAACCATTTACACCGCAGACTTATTGTGTTTCAAAAGACAAAATATTTATTATTTTTTGTTTTCTACATTTGATTACACCAATCATTTAAATGTGCATGTTTAAATCATTGTTCTCTTATTCGATATTCTTAATGTAAATTAATGAAAGAAACGGAGAAACGACGACAACCCTGCATCACTACTCACATATAAACAAATTATATTTTTTAATAACATTTTTATTAAAAAAAAATAACCATGATCAAAGTGTAAATGTAAATAAATTTCAAGCTTAAAACATTTGGCATATAATAATATTCACCTTTTCATAGTTACTCTAATAAAAATACTTGCATGCTAAAACCCTAAAGTAATTGAAAACTGTATTAAAATATTGTAATAATTTCAAAATAAATGAAAGTACCTTGTCTTTAATTGTTGTGTCTGCGCCGCTAAAAATAAGGATTTGGACACTGGACAGAAAGTTCTTGGCCACTGCAAGGTGTAGGGCTGTCTGGCCTGTTTTCTGTGATGTTCAAGAGAAACCTTGTTAAACTAGTATAGTTTTAATTTATCTTGATTAAAATCTTAATCGTTATGACTTAATAAACGACGAAAAATGCAATCAGATGATAAAACCACAGCACCCGGGCAACTGAATCGTCACTGAAAAATATGGAAAAATTATGCCATTTAATCTCTTTACAGAGATTTCCAGTTAACTCAATGACGAAGTTTCACGCTGTGAACTTTCATCGACAACAGTATTCTACTTACAGCATCAGGATAATCCAGCAAGGCGCCATTGACGGCCAACATTTCTATCACCTCTACTGCGTTTTTCTTGGCGGCCAAATGAAGTGCAGTTTGACCATTCTAAAGAAAAATGTAAAGCATGACAACCGGGGTAGGGCCATTTTTTCCGTACAATAAACATTATAAAGAAGGTAGATAATTTACCTTGTCAATTGTATTAGGCTGAGCTCCTTGCAACAGCAGAGTGTCTACATTGTTTGCATCCCCATTATTCGCACAATGATGCAAAACTGTTTTCCCATTCTTTTAAAAACAAAATATTATTATTAGTTGATATTTTTCCAAATAACCTTTTCCAAATTTGATCTGTTGTTTGTATCATTTATTTATGTTTAAATCTTACTTCATCTACAGCCGTTAGATCCGCGCCAGGAAATTCCGTCAGAAGACGGGTTAGGGTTTCGGTATCATTCTTCTTTGCCGCTTGTAAAATCTTTAAGTATATCAAAAGACAGTCATAAGTTTTTAAAAATGCAGAAAGTTTAGGTGAGGTTTCTCGACAATTCGCAAAACCGTGAACCAAAATCTTTTTTTTTATTTTCATGCATTGTTGAAAAAATACAATCAAATATGTAATAATGAAGCTCAAAATATAAAATAAAACCAATACAGTTAGTCACCGGCTAAAACATTAAATCATACATGAATTGTCATTTGTCTCATTAAAAATAGTCACTCTCCTCCATGTTAACGCTTTTGAAGCAAGAAGGCTATTTACAATGTAAATAGGAGCTTGAAACCATAATTTGGACTCATCTTAGTTAATAATGGAAAAAAGATTCCAAAAATTTTTGGACTTACATGTGTACCATTATTAATATGATTCATTCTAGGCGTATATAATATACTGGACTTCATGTTAGGACAAAAATTAAGACATACAGCACATACAGCACACAATACTAGTAAACTTCTGCAAAAGATTCTGATTTCTGGAGAACATTGCAAAGCACACAACCCATTATATTACCAGTTTAGGAGCCAGTGCAAGACGGTTGGCTTCTCTTGATGTTTTATTCTGAATTATCATGATATTGTCTATATTCTTGTTTCCAGTTAGACATTGATAAAATATGCATTACAAAATAATTTGCTGTATTTAATTAGCCGAATTTCGACATTTCTCTCATAATAATTTTGCTTCAAGTATATGCTAACAAAACCTTAAACAACAACCTTCTCATAAATTAAAAGATTGCAGAATTAACATAACTTTTTATGAAATTTCTTATTTGTAAATGTTGCAGAGCTCTTTACCTTCTTTGTAATATCTGCACTATTATGTAGGGTCTCCGGTGGTTTGACAGGGGTTCCCCTAGCTGATTCCATATCGAGGTTGAAGCTGGACTGCATGGATAGCTGTGACCCCTTGGCCATTGTAGGAATCCGGGAAAGTCCTCCCACAGATGAACCGGATACCGAGGAATCACGCCGAGGACCCATCTTACCATTTTGATTTGACCTGAAGAGTAATGGGAAAAATTGGAGGAAGGAGGTTCAACACGTCTTTCCAAAATAAAGTAGAAGTATATCGAAATGGCATTCACCAAGTTGAGACATTTGCCTATTTAGGTGTAGAAATCAGAACTGAAGATCGTAATCAAAAAATATGAAGAACAAAGTAGCAAAAGCAATAACAGCCTCCTACAAATTTGATACAATCTGGAAATCGGAACAATAAAAGGAAAACAAAAAAGAAGAAGAAGGTACAGTTTCAATACAAATTCAGCCCGATGTTTTTCTAAAATATGAAAGTGATATAAGAAATCAAAATTCATTTTTTTCTTAATCATTTGAATTCCCTGCGGTTATAATATGCAAATCGTTTTTTTCATATGATCTCCTTAATACTATTTGTGACGTCATTACTTGTGCATTTTCCCGCTTTTTCTTAAAAAGTTGCAGAAGACATCAATTTTCAGTGGAATTTTCTTGAAGAAAACATACTCTGCCACCGTCGCCCAGAAAGATTTTGAGATATGTGATTTTTCATGGCAGTTTACATAATATATCCAAAAATGAAAGTGGGCGACGGTGGCACACACATTTTTCTAAAGGAAAATTAGCACAGAAAGGAGTCATTTTGAGGCTTTTTCTGCATTAAACTTAGAAATGTACCAAATTAATGATGTCACATTTCCAGAGAGGTCCTCTTTAATGCCATATTCTTTCATGATTTATTATATTCATATACTCAACTATTGTTAAAGCCAATTTCAGAACTTTTTAAGAACATTAAATTTTTAGGGCACAATAAAGCTGAAACTGTACCTTCTTCTTTAAAACAACAATGTGAGATAATTTTATTATATGGAAGTGAATGTTAGAGGGTTACCAAGGCAGACAGGAGACCACTGTTCAGTATCCACCACAGCTGTCTCCCTCAAAGCTGTAAAGTCTTTTAAACGAAATACTATATCGAATGTCGACCCACTGAAAATTGGACAAAGTCAAAGTGTATCATCGACGAGTTAAATCAAAGGATACTAAGGTGACTAGGACATATCCATTGAATAAAGTGATCGAGGATTCCAAAAGTCACCCTTAAGATGGACACCATCAGGAAATAGACCAAGGAGAAAATCAAAAACAGCCTGGATGGTCAACTGGAAACTAGTAAAATACCTTCATCTGAGTTGAGTAATTATGGCCAAGAAGAAAGATAAGTAAAGTATAAGCAGTCTTGTGTTGACCTTATGCTCCAGTGGAAAAGAAAATGATATAGGTAGGTAGGAAACAAACTGTTCTATTCACATACTCTAATACAGATTTCAATATAATTATATTTTTAATTTACTTTTTGGGTATCCCCTATACCTGTTTCTGATAAATTTTATTTTGTAAATCATTATTAGGATATCTTTAATATTTTTCAAGATCAATTTTTTTGCTGTGAAGCATTTTTTTCACCTGTTCTACGTGGAAGGAACTTCGCCAGTTTTTAACCTCTTTACGTTCTGTTTACGCTTGCATTGCTGAAATGCCTCTTATAGAAGTCTATTGATTTATTTTTTAAATTATGCAATTTTTATAGCCTTCAAAAAGAGATTTCATGACTATTGGTAAAATGTAGACCTATGCAATATATTTATCGATGATAACTCATTATAATGCCAATAAAAGAGGAGTCTCAATAGAAAGATAGACATCGACAAACGCCGGAAAAAACTCAATTCTATTGCTCTGTCGTAAATGCCTTTTGGAAAACAGACATGACCTATATTAGAATCCAAATGTTGTGCCTGTTCGAATGTTTCCTGAGAAGATTTTTTCTGAAGACAGTGTTAAATGTCCCGTGTTTGTCAATATTAGTTTTAGGATTGTACTACATTTCATCAACAAAAGAGTCCTGGATTGTCTTCGGTCCGTGTAGAGAAATAAAAGTTTAAATAGAGAGATCACAAAAACATAATGATATCTGGTTATTTTTATTCGAAATGGGTTTCCTCCCTGTGATGATTTCTAAGAATAAAATAATATATTTGCAATTAGAATAATCCAACCCTATCAATCATGCAGATTGAGAGCGGTTATACTGTGTATATATATGAACTACGTTTATAAATATATGAATATATGATTCTAAAGTCAAAAGAGGGGAAGGGTATATTATGTTGTAAGCCCTGTACAAGGCAAGATTCAATGCATAACTGACTTTGTAACATGGCGGACTGACTATGGGTGGAAGAAATGTTTGAATAACACATGTATATACATGAATCAAGAAACGTTTTATGTAAACTTGTACAAATGTCTTTCGGATAAGAAAAATGCTCAAATTATAGTGAATATGAAAAAAGCGTACACTTACCTGGTTGCCGTTGGACTTGGACTTGGGCTCGGAATAGAAATATCGGTCGGGCTCGGTGATGTTAAAACAGTTGATGCGGTGGAATCCTGGGAAACATCGCTAACAGAGCGCTTCCTGAAATGGTCTTCAATATTAGCATCGTTAACCTGTGAGTGTGATTGTTTAATTGGTCGTTCCCTCTCTTTAAACTTAGAGTTGGCATTTTTCGCTTGCAGATACATATCGGTTAATCCACGTTGTCAGAACATTTTTGGCACACAACAATTTCAAAATATTGTCAAGAATTGACTGCACACTTTGATAAATCTGTGAACCATGATTATTATTAGACATCACAATTTGGTTTACAAGTGGTGTATTTAAATACCTTTTGACAGATTTAAACTTCCACTGTGACGTCAGACTGATATATCGTAAACATAACATAACCATGCACGATTTGAGTTGAAAAGTTACAAATGAAGGTCATTTAAACCCTAGTACTGTTGAAGAGCATTGCAAAATCACCGTTCCTCTATACAATGAAACATTTTAAACATTGAAAGTTTAAAAATCATACAGATCCTACCAGATAAAACAAAGAGAAGGATTCCATTCTAATTTTTACAATGTTAATATGAAATTTAGAATATTGAAAATAAAGACTTTGTATAAAGAAAAAAATATAGATATGCAGACTTTGAAGTGATTTACTAATACATGTACCTGAATAGTAAGAAATTCATATAATATAAATCTTGCATGGTTAAAAAGTAGTGATTATTTCTTAAATAAAATAATTTTCACCCTTGAAGACACATGAATTATTTGTTCTTTCTTTCAGAAAAATTAAAAGTCTTCTTTAAATAATTTTGGTAAATAATATTTATTAATTTCTCATAAGATTTGCTTAACCTCGGGGACTGGTTCATTAAACAGGACTGTGAATTCAAGTGATATACCACCACTTTCATTCATCAAGTTCGTGACATAAGTTGTAAAGCGCTTATAAAGGTCAAAAAAAAGTCTCCAACCTTGATTCCATTTCGTTTTCATAATTTAAATGCTTTAAGTGATCAAAGATTTGTTTTACGTATGGAGATTAGAGAAATATGATTATATCATATCCAACTCGAAAGTTTGATCAAAAGAAATAAAATTCTTGTTTTGTTTGACGGTCTGTAGGGGAGAGAACGTCTGTGTATATAAGAGAGATAACAATATGTGGAGCAAATATTTCTAGTTGTGTTAAAAACATGAGACTACGTATACTTGACTAAACCCTCGGGAATAGTCTTTTTGGTGTGACTTGTACTTCGGGGTAGTCTGTTTTGAGATGTAAAGTATTCGGGGGTAGTCTGTTTTGAGATGTAAAGTATTTGGGGGTAGTCTGTTTTGACATGACTTCTATTTGAGGGTAGTCTTTTATACGATCTCTATTGGGAGGTACTCTATTTTGACATGACCTTAAAACTAGAGTATTCTGTTTTGGAGTGCCCTGTACTCGGTTGAGTGTTTTGACATGCCCTCTCTTCAGCAGGGGCTGTCTGTTTTGATATGACCTCTATTCTGAAGTAGTCTGTTTTGGTATGACTTTTTTTTTTAGAGGATTGTAAGTTTTGACCTCTTTTGGACCCCCCTGTCGTTACCTCGCATTCCCTGGAGTTGGGGGATTTCCGTTCTGGAGCTGCGTTGTACCGTTCTGACTAGCCTTGGAGTATCCTCTTTTCATAGACATTTTCTACCAGATCTTCAGAAAACAGAAACAAAGAACAAAATAAAAATACAAAAAATCCATCTTTTTGATTTTTTTTTTTATTTTCGTTGACGTGCATCATTTTTGATATTTTATGCATGTGCTATTAAAGATATAAGATAACAATAATAATTTTTTTTCTTTAAGCTATTTGCACGTCTAAATGGAGGCTTACGAAATTTGCAAGTACAATGCATGGTGTCAGACTGATAAGTTGCATAAAAAATCATTTCCTCAGCATATATATGACTTTTCTGATGAATAAGTGTTACTCGTAAATTATGACACTTAGCATATATACCTTTTCAAGATAATTATTCGTTTCTAAGGGGAATCTATCAAAAATATTAAAACAGATTATTTTTGACAATTTTCTCATCTATACAGACAAATCATGTTTGAACAAATAAGGTTCTAGAAAAGTGAGTTCATGATTAAAACTTAACTTTAATGAACAGCTGAAGCTCAGGGCGTATGGGACTAATTAATATTCTTACATTAATTATCTGTTCACGATGTGAAGTAGGTGTTCAATATATACCACACTTGATAATTATAATCCTTACTTGTGCTTTTTAATTATTTGCTTACCTAAAACTGATAATTGGAAGGAAAAAATACATGTGTGGAATCTTATATCCTAAATTATATTAAAAAAATTTTTTTTTTCGCCCACACGATTCATTATTTTGATGCTTTAATTTCTGAAAAGGATCATTTAAAAACAATTACATAAACCTGGTTCACACTCCACTCTAACAAATGAGGAGAGAATTTAATTTTATTAAAGAGATTACTCTAGCTCTCAGGTTAACGAAGTCATCGGTTGGTTTGCTCGTTCGATTATTTGCTTTAAATTACCAAGCACAAAATTAAGTGAGTATTATCATATCAAGTCGACCACACCACCGAAGTTTTTTTTCTCTATGAGTACATTCACATGTTCATTAAAATGTAAGTCAATACTTGATAGTAATAATACAGACAATTGTTGATGTCAAAAGCACAATAGATAATTTTCGAAAAATAGATTTCTTTCAAAAGGAAAAAAATCTTTAAAACACCTACTCACAATATTACCTTTCGACGAAAGATGCTTACAACTCTGGAAAATCAGGCCATATTTTGGGAACATTATTGTAAGTAATGAGTATTTTATTTCCCCGAAGAAATTGCAATCTAACATAATCTTTCTGATTGACAGGAATGGTTACTGAAGTGAAATACAAGGAGATAACGAACAGTATTGAAACTCAAAAATTTATTTAACAATACAAATCAGTTACGGAGCAACACAGACATCTAAAACATTACAGGTAGGGTCAGGTGCCATTTAGGAGTGAACATCCCTTCCGAAAAGGTCACACCCGCCGTGTGTTCCTTGTCATGATCGGGAAATAACGGAAATTCGTCGACAATTTAGTTAATAATGACACACCAGTTTGTAAGAAAATGCAATTCACCATTTAACCTAGCGATAGATTGAATTAGCTGACATTGTGTCGACCATAGAACTTAGGGAATAATGACTCTAAACGATACTGCTTATATTCCTGTATTGTTTCATCAACTTATTTGTCAAAAATTTCCTCATAATTTTTTAAGATCTCATCAAAAAGACCTTCAACTTTCACTTTATCGTGCCAAAACCTTTGGTGAAGGAACTATGCTAAGTATTGAATAAAAGACTTATTGAACATCAAAATGACGCCAAGAACAATTTTTTTTCCCAAAAGATGATTTGGCTTCTGAAATAACAATAACATTAACTTTCTTTTTAGAAGGTGCCAATTTGAATTATAAGAAACTTTATTCATAAGCCTTTTGATGTAAATGCACAAAAACTACAAAACATCAAAATCAGCTATCAACACATTTTTATTTACATGCTGGCCACTTTGATTCAGATTCTTGATAATTTGAAGAAAATGTGTAACTGATTGTTTTATATAATTGATAATTTGTTACATGTATTTGAATAATGGAATGGCCTAGTATATTTGGGCATGTTTAAAGCAATATGAGCTGCAATTTTGATGTCGAAATTTTTTGTTTGCAATACTGTAAATAACTTTTTCAATGACAGAAAAAAATGACACTAAGTTACTTCTGTTGTTCATATTTGCGATGGAAGAACTATTTTCATATATAAGCTTCGATTGAATCAAAATTACATTATTGTCGACCTGTACAATTATGATTTCTTACATAAAACTTTATATTGGATTGTATATAGAAGTTTTTCTTTTGCCTTATTTTAGTCTAATTGATTATAAAGTTTTAAGTTTACAAATTTATCATAATAGGACATTTAAAAAGCGAAATAAAATTTTCAAAAATGCAGCCCATATTGCTTTGGGCATGATGTGCAAGTGTGCGCAAATGTTTGGCATCTTTCAGTAAATTATTGTATTTCAGTTATTTCGTATATTAATTACATTGTATATTTTACGTAATATGTTTATTTTTATGTTTTATCGATAAGAAAATGACAAGTAGCAATATATTTTACACATTCACAATGTATTAACTAGATACTTTCAAAATCGATTTGTATACATTAATAGTACACTGTGATTTGTTAGTTTTGCATCTTAATAACGTCATTGTTATTTCAGAATTTATCGTCTATTTATCTTTCAGATTTATTTAAATTTTATTAAATTTCTCAATAAAAGAAATCAAAACCCTGGGGCTGACTTTATTTAATTCATCCATGAACTAAATAAAATTCGTCCTCGAAATTCTCTATTCTTTTGCAACTTTGACTTCCTTTTTAGATATTTTTAGCAAAGAAATATTTCTGCTTCCCAGATTAATCCAGTTTAAATCTTCTGTAAAAATTTTATTCCAAAGATTAGATTTGGTTTTAAATAAAGGCAGCAGTGCACAGCTTAATTAAACCAGCTCGGAGATTTCACGAGTCAGTTATGTGACGTAGTGTGTAAAGAAAATAAAGGGTTCGGAAGACTATCACAAATACTGTATCACAAATAAAATCTGATGATCTCTGTGGGTAGAGTGATACTTTGCCAAAAAATTGAGCCAACCACAAAGACATAGTTTAAGCTTCATACATAATGGAACATGGTTTTTGGATACATATAACGGGTATTTTTCGCGATAAACCAAATTTTGCATTCTTTGCATATATCTAACGACTGGAAAGAAATATATTTGCAATATATTGTTGCCGGTTAGTGTTTACCATTACATAGATAAGTGTCAGGAACCAACAGAGTAGTCATAAACAGTGCTTTGGTATGATTTTGCATAAATTTGTTATATGCAGAAAAACGCGTTTTACAGTACCATGTATATGTTTTACAATTGCAAATTCCAATCATCAAGAAAAAGATATGAAACAAAAGATAGCGACGTCAAACTCCGACAAAATTCAACAATCAAAAACGTCAATATTTTGATTCTAGGAATATTGATCATGAAACACATGAAAAGGCAGATTGCAATTAGATATTATATATGTCGACCAAAAGTCATACGATATTAATATATATGATGTAAAAGTCATACAACATCAATATGAGAACCAGTTTAAAAAGGATCAGATGTGACTGAAATTTTTAAACCACAAATAATCGATCTCTGCTAATATTTAATTTATAGATCGGTTATATAAAC